AAATCAAGAATCAAATAATTGAATCTCCCTCCCCCTTTCCTATAAAATCAAGTAATCGAATCAAAGTGCATGTGATTTAAAAAGACAGAGAAAGGAGTTCATTTTGGGCTCCCTTTATTGGCCTCTTAAATCCTGAGCTTTGCAGCCTGCTGGGAGTGTTTTATGGATCCCTTTTCACAGCTGTGAGTAGCAAGGACTCAACTGCCCCTTTTCCTGGGACCTGGGAGGCAGCAGGACCTTGTGGCAGCTGGGGAAGGACAACTTTAGCCTGGGTGACCCCAGTGCTGAGGCTGGGGATGGATAAGGGACATAATGAGGTGCAACCTGTGTGAGGAAGACCTCGAGGAAGTAAATTTTGCTGCTTGTCTGCAGCTGAGTGGTTTGGGATGGTCCCTGGGAACTGGAAATGCCCCCTGGGTGGAGCTGCCAATGGATGTGGCTGGTCAGCCTGGAGGCTGCCGAGGCTGCAGCCTCATCGGGGATGCAAATGGCATGTAAATTCATGTAAACATATGTCTCCGTGCAGGTAGCAGCTCGTGCCCAAATTATGCAAATGTTCTAATCCAATAAGGCTAATGTCATGATTATCCAGCAGCACGGGGTTCATTAATATGGTTCCCTGGCTCTCACACCCATCACTGTCAACAGGAGCACGCCGAGCTCTCCAGCAGCCCTGGAGCCACTCTTGGGGAGGGAAGAGGACATCCAGGGCATGGTGGCACCAGGAAGGACCCTCCAGCTGCCACATGTCCTGCCCAAGGTGACACCTGGCTGCCACGCTCTCCTCAAGGGCTCCTCAGCCCTGGGGCAGCTTTCCCAGATCCTGCAGGGCAGCCAAAGCAGCATTCCTCAATATCCGTGCTGTGATCAGATGAACAGGGCTAGCAGGGCCATCTAGTGACTCCTCTGGCTGCTAAATGACCTGGGAGGTGCCCCCTCCACGGTGATCGTTCTAAAGTTTGTGTTTTGAGGGATGCCACCTCTCCCTCTGGCTCCCATTTATTTTTTTCAGCTGGTGGGTTTTCTTTACTCCAAAGTTTTCTTTTCCCTAGATCACCCCAGAGCTGGAAAACACTCGGGCTTCCCTGCAGTGGAGAGGAACTTTGTCCTGAGTGGGGTGACATAAGGTCAGGCAGTGAATAGCCCGTGGCTCTGAGAGCATCCTGCAGGCTGGCCTGGCTGCTCAGCCCTGCCAGGAATGCTGCTCTCCAGGCAGGAATCTGCTTGGCTGGGCTGTGGCCTCAATTTCTTCCCTGCTGACCCGCAGGTGCTGCTGTGAGTTTGTTTTTGTGGTGCTCATGTGAGCAGCCCTGCCTGGTTCAGGGAATCTGGGGTTGTTTGCCTCTCCACCAGCCTGATCCCACTGTGAATCTGTGGGGTTTTTCCCCCTTCTTGCTCCTCTTCTTGTTCCTCTTCTTTCTCTTCCATTTTTGTTGCTTTTTTTAAATGTTGGCACGATGCTGGGATTTGTGGATGGGGCCAGGAAAACGCCCTGGCACCCAGGATGGATCATTCCCTCACAGCTCATGGTTCAGCCTCATGATCCAGGCATGGACAGGACATCTCCCAGCCCTGGGAGGAGCAGCAGCCAGGACAGAGCTGCCCCAGAGCTGTGACAGGTACAGGGATTGCACAGGGGGGTTTGGGTGGATTGCTTTCGACAGGATGTCATTAGCCTGACGTGGATGTGGGAGAGGAGCAGCTCTAAAGCTCTCTTAATGCAGCCAAATTGCTCTTTAATACTGCAAACCCAAGATGTTATTTTGTGAATCCCTGGAGCTCACTCTGCTGCTGGTTATTGGTGGCATTTTTCCCTCTGCTTGCATCCAGCTCTGAGTTCCTGGAGCGTGGGGTGGGAGCAGTTTCCCCCCAGTGCCTCTCTGGAGCTCGGCTGCTTTCTGCCCTCACTTGGCTCCTCCTGTGCTCACTCTGGGAGCTGCTGTGACTCCTGAAAAGCCTCTTCCCACCAAAATGTGAGCAGAAAGTCTATCCATTTCCATGGCAACGGGGCCGGGCCCTAAATGCTGATGGGAACTCTGTTCCTGGACATTTATGGAGTGGGAAGAGCTGGGGGTGCAGAGGCAGCAGTGCCCAGCCCCAGCACAGCTCTCCAGGCCAGCATTCGTGTCCCAGCCACCACAGGATCAGGTGCTGCTGCAAAATTAACACCAGGCTTTGCTCCTGGCTGCCTGGAAAATCTTGAGGAGGAATGTTGTCATCCTCCTGCAGCTGGGAGACAGTCGGGAAGAGGTAAAAACAGGGTAAAACTCCTAAGACAAGTCAGCTGGATATTCTCAGAGGATGTTGACTCCAGCTTGGGAAGGCACTGAGAGCAGATAAAATTAGTCTAATAGGAGTTGATGCTGCACAGAGGTCTCCCCTCTCTTGATTGCAAGGCAGTGGGTCTGCATTTATCTCACAACAATCAGACCCAGCGCCGTGTGAGAGGGTGGCTCTGCACAGCCTGGTGATGGCAAACCCCTGCCAAGGCTCTGGAGCGCAGAGGAACCCACAGATCAGGAGAGAAATCTGAGGAAAAAACTCCAAAAAGGTTCATCCCTAAGAAAATCCCCTCTGAGGGCTGAGCCCTTGGCAGTGCTGTGCCCCAAGGTTGGATGTCACTCCAATCCTGGGCACTGTTTGGGTGGATTTGGGTCTGTGCACAGACCCACCCTGCCGAATTCCTGGGTGGATTTGTGCTGTGCTGCACGGAGTGAGATTTACAGCAGCTGGTTGTCCCCTCTGCTGGGCTGGCAGGGGCCTGGAGTGTTGGCAGGGGGGTGTCAGGGTGCAGAGCAGGTCCCCTCCCCAGCAGGAGGGCAGACCTTCCACAGGACTCCAAAAAACCCCGAGGGCATTGAAATGACAAAAGAAAACACCAACTATTTTGGGATTCCCATGGAAATGGCAACATATGCTGAACGTTAAACATCAGCCCCTACCAAAAGTAGAGCTATTCTGGGCCCATCCTGAAGATGCAGGGAGAGCTGATGCCTCCCTCCTCCTGGGAGCTCCTTGCCAGGTCCATCTGCAGGTAGCAAAATGCTGGCCAGGAAGATTCCATCCACCTTTGCCACTGGTTGGGTGTTTCATAAGGTCTCTGGGAAGTTTAAGCAATATTTTGAGGGGAGAGGGGCTCCTCCCTGCTGGCATTTGGCCCTTGCCTGGCTTAAGGCAAGGATTTGTTTGTGTCTGTGTTGTAAAAGGATGTGGGTTGTATTCCACCACAGTGATTTTGTTCACAGCTAGTAATTGCTGGTTGAATCTGGTCAAATAATGGTTGTTAGCAGGGCCTGTTGGAGCACAGATAACTTCAGATATTATCCAAGCAGAGGAGCAGTGGGGGCCGGGGTGCACTGGGATATCAGCGCTGCTGGGGAGCCGTCATCAACGCAGCCTGGAATAAGCTCCTTAGGATTATTTTGGCCAAGTTTCCCAGTTATCACCATTATTATTATTGCTTTACTTAGCAAATGCAAAGGCTGTTTGACCAGGTAAGGAGGGCAATGCACTGGATGGGCTCAGCCAAGGCTCCCCAGCAGTGGAGGGCAGGGATCTTTGAGGGGAGGCTGCCAGGAGCTGTGTGTCAGCCAGGAGCCAGAGCCCCCAGCCAGCCAAGGAGCCAGGCACACGTTGCTTTTCAATTAACCCCCTTCCCATGCACACAGCCATGCTAAGCTCGTTGGAAGAAATAAAAAATATGTTTCATACTTCCCAGCCAGGGGAGCTGAAGGCAGGGAGTCAGCCCTGAGGGATGGAGGGGTCTCTTCCAGCAGTGTTGGCATCCCCTGGCAGTGCTGATACCCCTCAGTCCAGCCCCTGAAGGCAGACTGAGCTGGTGGTGTCTGCTGGCACCTTCTCCTGCCTACAGCTGTGGGAACTTTCAGGCTTAAAAATGGTTGGGAAAAGGAAAATTCCAGCTAGGGCCGTGCAGGCTGGTGTCACCTCCCTGGGGACACTGACAAACCTCCCTGTGCCACCTCTCTGAGGCCAAGGATGAGATCCAGAGGTAGTGAGGGCTTTAATTTGGCACCAGCAGGGCAGGGGGGCTCAGAGAGATTTTGAGTAAAAAGAAATAAATAAAGAAGCAGAGGGTGAATCCCTGGCAAGCAATGGGATGTGCCAGCCTGCTGCTGTGCTTTCCATTTGGAAATTAATTGATCAGACTGGGATCAGCCCCTGCTCTCCTGGATTTAAACCTGGAACAGCAGAACTTGATGCTCAGCATTTGTAAGGAAATTGGTTGAAGTGTGTCCTGAGGACAGCCTGTGGTTTTGGGTGTGTGTTTAATCCGTGTGCTGCAGTTTTGGGGGCTGTAGGAACATTCCTCCTTTTTGCCCATTTGCAGGGCAGCTCCAGAGGAAAACTGGCACAGGGAGAGTGAGTGCCACAGGCTTTTTCTGGGTGTACTTAAACTTGTGCTTGTGCCCCCTGTTCAGGAGAACATTTAAAGTAAAACCTTGGTGTTTTCAGAGCCTGGGCTGGAGTTGGAGTGACAGCTCCTGCATCCCACACCCCAAGCGCAATGTCACCGAGCTCAGGATCTTGTTTTCTGGGGAGAAAACATGGATTTTGACAGGGACAATTGCTCTTGCCTCTCATCCCATCCCTGCTTTGATGCTGGCTCTGTGGTGGCCACCTCCCCCTTCCCTGCAGGCTGTCCCCCCTTCCTACAGACATGTCTGTGCCCTGACAGAGTGGCTTTGCTCCCTGCCAGGCAGAGCTGTGGGTTCAAACTGACATTTTAACATTTCAACTCTCTCTTTTCTTCCTGGGGGGCTGGTGGGGAAGGCAGATTCCCCTCTGAGGGAAGCAGAGGCCACGTGCGTGGGCAGAGCGGCTCTGGATGGCCCCAGCAGAGCCAGGGATCAAACCAAGTCACATTCCAGGGCATTAGACAGACGGTGGGAATTAAGAGCTTTACCTGGAAACTGGCTTTGTATCTGCAAGCCCTGCTTTTGTCTTCCAGCCCAACTTTCTATTTTTGTCCCTTTCTCCTTCAGCGTTGTCGTGTGTGACACATTTGGGGAGCCCTGGGTACCTATGGGGCTGTTTCCAGGAGGAAACAGGCAGGATGGGAAGGTAGGAAAAGTGTGCTTTATCAAGACCAAGCTGCTTTGGGACTTGTTAAAGGCTAAGGAAAGGCTCCAGCTGCTTTCTGTAGGCTTGGGATCGGGTAGGGACTACAAAGTCCCACCTGGGCTGTTAGCAGTGAGTCTTGGTTTTGGTTTCTCTCAGTCTGTAGGGCTGGTGATGGGGTCTCCCTTAGGGGACACTCCTGCCCAGCTTCAGGAGTTGGTCTGCTTCAATTCTGCCTTTTTTTGTCCCCTTGTTGCTCTTCTGAATCCCTGGGTGAGCTGAGCATCTCTCAGCTGGTGCTGCTGGGCCCTGATCCTGGCTGTGGATGCAGGAGGAAGAAGAGCTCAGAGGTTCACCTTAATTCCCAGAGCCTTGATTTTCTGTGCTGTAAAACAATCTTTGCCTGTTTGGGTCTTGGAGGAAACATTTGAAACGATGACGCTTTTGTAATGCTAGTAACAGCATTAGGCTCTCACATGTAACTTGATTTTATTTATTTATTTATTTGCCCTTTCTTGGAGGAAATTGCTGCTATTTTCTGGGCATCGGGCCCAATTTCTGCTTCGTTCTGTCTGAGTCCACACCACACCCTGCATGCTGCACCCAAAGATGGAGCCTGAGTGGAGGAGCACACCCAAATCCAGAGGTACCTCCTTGTGCTTGCTGTGATGTTTCCACCCAGCATCAGCCCACCTGCGAGATTTTCAGCCTCCACATGCAGAGCAGGTGGCATTTCCCTCTGAATTAATGTCCTGGGAGTCCTTGGATGTGGGAAGGGGGTTAAACTGCCTGAGACTGGATCTGCTGATTGACCTGCAACAGGCAGGAGCCACCTCGGAGGGAAAATACAGCAGGGACACAAAGGAGCAGTGAGCTGCCTCCTGTTCTCCCAGGTCATTAGATCCTCCTCAGATGTGCTTCACGTCTGGGTACAGAGCAGTGACAAGTTTGGATGCTTCAGGAGAGAAACATTCACTTCCCTGTGAGGAGTAAATTAGGTTCGTTTGCCTGGTGTCAGCATGTTATGACTCAAAGACGTGCATTAACATTTACCAAAATCTGAATGAAAGCTGAACTCTGCTGTAGACTGAAAGGCTGGGTGTCATTTTGTTGGGATTTGGGGGAAATCCTCTGAAGAGCAGAGCTTTGTTTTTAATAATCACCTGCCTGCCAGGCTGCAGGAGACTGCAGCTCTGTGTGCATGGCTAAGGGATGTGGCAGGTTACCTGGTGAGCCTGCCTGTGGGCAGCTGGACATGGTGGTGGGTGACCAGAGCATGCCAAGTGTCCCAGCCTTGCACCAGACCCCCCCAGAGCTCAACCAGCAGAGAGGCTGCACCTCTGAAATACTTCAGACACATTTTCCTGGGCAGGGCGAGTTACTTGGGCAGGATTTTGCATCATTTTCTCACCATGTTTCTCTTCTGGCACTCCTTGCTGAAAAGAAGTCCACTCCCAGCAGCTTGTGAAGCCACAGATTTATTGATTTAAACACGGAGGGGGGGATGAGTAAAAGCAGCAGTCTGAGACCAACACCCTGAGCAAGGCACTGCTCAGCATTTTCCAGGGAGCCTGTGGCAGGAGCCTGTCCTGTCCTGGCTGGTGCTGGGGCCCTGGCCATGCCCAGGGAGGGGCAGGAGGGGTGCTGAGCATGGCCACAGTGGCACTGAGCCCTGGCCCAGCCCATCCCTGGCCCCTCTGTGATGCTGCACCAGCCCCCTGACAGAGCCACACGCCGGCTGGCAGGGGCTGTGCCACCCAGGCCACGAGCAGGGCACCCACAGTGGCACTGAGCCCTGGCCCAGCCCATCCCTGGCCCCTCTGTGATGCTGCACCAGCCCCCTGGCACAGCCACACGCCGGCTGACGGGCTGTGCCACCCGGGCCACGAGCAGGGCACCATGTGTTGCTTCAATCCCGGGTGTGTTCCCGGCTCCAGAAGCTCATCCAGCCGATGCTGAGCTCTGGAAGGGACATTGCTGTGGGCTGGGGCAGCAGGGATCCGAGCCGGGGCTGTCCCTGTACCTGTGAGCAGCGGGGAGCGGGCAGCTGTGCCACCCGTGCCCCGGCTCGGGATGTGGCACGGCATCTCCCTGGCACAGCCTGCGGGGCTCTCGGTGTCCCTGGGGGCTGTCACTGTCCCTGGGGGCTGTCACTGTCCCTCTCCACATCACCCCGGGATGTCACACATCAGTTCTCTGGCTCCTGACCCTGCCCGGTGACCTCAGTCCCCCCGGAGGGGTCTGGCAGGGACCAGCCCTGCTTTTACCAGGGAGACGAATCAAAGCCCACCTCCCTTCACCCCATCACCCCAACTCCTGCCGGGGGCCGTGGCTGGGCTGGGGAAGGGGCAGGGGCCGGCTGCCCGCGCTGCTGGCCGTGCTGCCGGGGCGGCAGGCCGGCCACAGCCCTCATTCCTCCGCTGCTGGGAACCGCTTTGTTGCTAGCTGGTGACATCACCCGAGAGCCCACCCCCTGCCTCTTATCCGTCTCTCTGTCTCGCTCATTTATTCCCAGGCAGCGCTGGCAGGATCAGGGGCTGTGCGAGCGCCAGGGCTGGCAGCAGCAGCATGCGTGCGGCGAGCGAGGCTCAGGGCGCCACAACCACCTAAGGGGCCCGGAGCCTCCTCATCCTCATCCTCCTCCTCCTCCTCAGCTGCCCCCCGCAGCCCCCGGCAGAAACTTCCCTCTCCCGCACTTCGGGCTTCTCCGGGGGGGCTTGGCAGCGACAGCCGCATGCATGACACTCCGAAAAGGAGAGAAAATGACCATAAGTATCCAGGAGCACATGGCCATTGACGTCTGCCCCGGCCCCATCAAACCCATCAAGCAGATCTCCGACTATTTCCCCCGCTTCCCCCGCGGGCTGCCCGCCGCCGTCGGCCGCAGCAGCAGCGCCCTGCGCCCCGCGCTCAGCCAGCCCTCGGTCAGCCCCGCCGAGCCTCCCCGCGAGGATGAGGAGGATGTGGACCAGCTCTTCGGAGCCCACGGAACGACGCCCGCAGAGCAGCCGGCCAAGAGCCAAGCGCCCGACGAGGTGGTGGACCCCGAGGGCTACGAGTCCGACGATTGCAGTGAGTTGCTAAGTTTCCAGGGGAGTTTGCTCGGTGCTGAGGGCGTGGGTGGGTCTTAGGGCCGCTTGTGCATCTTGGGGAGCCCTTGCAGCCGCCGCTGGGATCGCGCCGCAGCAGGGAGATGCTGCCGGGTGTAGCCGGGGGGGCTCTCCCGGCGCTTCCCGGGGTGGAGGAGCCCTGGCAGTGTCCGTGCCGCAGCCAGGCTGGTGCTGAACCCAAAGTAGGGAAGTCTCCCAAGAGCCACCAGTTGCTGTCGTGGTTGGTGCACTTCTGTGCCTCGTCCCTGCTCGGCTCCGTGCCTCCAGCCCTCCGGCCGGGCTCAGAGCCTTTTAATCGGGCTCGGTGGTGCAGGCTGCTCCAGCCACCCTGCCGATGAGCTGGCGATAGGCTCCGGCATCTCCCGGCTCCACAGCGGGGAGATTTGTCGGGAATGACATCGCCCCGGCCAGCTCTACCCTCTCCCTCGGCAAACTCTGGCGTGTCATCCCTCCATTCCTCACGGAGACCTGCAGGAGAGCGGGGGCCCTTTGGAGCAGAAGGCTTTGGCCGTGCTGGATGCAGGTGTTTGCAGCAAGGGTTAACCCCTCCCCACCCAAAACGTCCTTCCCAGCCGGCGCCGTGGAGCTGCAAGGCAGCCGCTGCCTGGCTCTGCCGGCCAGGGCCGGGGATAACCCGAATTCCCTCGGAGTTACAGAAACCCCAAGGGCTCCATTCAGCCCAGCCTTGGGGCCAGATCCTGAACGTAAAGTTTGGAGCCGGGAGATGCCGGGGGGAAGGGAGTGGGTGCTGCTGCGTGCTCGTCCTGGGGGAAGGGGAGGCTGAGCCGCTCAGGGCCCAGCGGTGGCTTTCCCTCGGCGGAATGTCACAGCCCGGCCTCGGCACCGCTGCCGGCCACTGGGCTGCTCCATTTATTCCATTCATACCCCAGAGTGTGATCCCAAGGAGGGCTCCCCGAAGGGATGCGCTGCTGCAGGGTGGCACGGCTGTCCCCGTGTCCCTCTCTGGGCACAGCCCTGCGAGAGGCTGTGCTGGGTGCCAGCCCCAAAGTGGCACACTCTCTGTCCCCGTGCTGGTGTCGGGGTCACGCTCTCTGCGGAGAGGCGACAGCTCTGGCAGTGCCAGGGAGAACATCTCTGCTAAGCCGCGTTTGTCCCAGCCGGGCAGTTAACGGGGACTTTAACCGGCTTTGGGTCATTAGCTGCTCTAATTATCCCATCGTGGCAGTAGAAACGGGAGAAACCGGGCTGCAGGGCCAGGGGGGAGTGTGGCCCAAAGCACTGGGGGCCCAGAGTGCAGTTTTCTCTGGGTGACTCGCATGGAAATTGCCCAGGGCTCTGCATTTTGCATTTTATCCCTTGGCAGTGCTGGATCGTGGGTGCTGGATGGTGGATGCTAGGTGCTGAGTGCTGGATCCTGGGTGCTGGGTGCTGGATGCTAGGTGCTGAGTGCTAGATCTTGGATCCTGGGTGCTGGATTCTGGGTGCTGGGTGCTGGATCCTGGGTGCTGGAAGCAGCTTGGCTCCGTGCCGGGGCCGGCGGGTGTTTCTCTCACCCAGGCTGGTGTTAGGAAGTGTTTCCTGCAGCGTAACAGGTGTCAGGCAAAACTGCTGAGTTTGTTTTGCCAGAGGTGTGGTGGGATTTTGGCTGGCAGAGGCACAGCGAGCAGAGCAGGGAGGTGGCTGCGCTGGTGTCACATCTCTGGGGACAGCACGGGGTGGCCCAGACACCCTGAGGACACTGGCTGGCATGAATGTGCAGGATGGGACTGTCACTCTCCCATGTTCAGCAGCCAAGTTGTAAATCCAGGCAAGAGCTGCCTGTACCCATTCCCCAGGCTGGGAGCAGGGAGGGGATCCTGCAGCCTGACTGGAGCCATCAGCCACGCTGGGGAGTGTCGTGGAGCTCCCCCACATCTCTGGAGGGTGATTCAGGGCTGCTGCATTAGTCACCTGCACTAAATTTCCCCTGGAGAACCTGTCTGTGCCTGCACGTCAGGACAGCGCTGGGGTGTCGGTGGTGTCAGTCCCCTTGGGGGGCACACGGGGTGCAGGGGGCTCAGGGGGTCTCTGGGGATGGTGGTGTCGGAGCTGGGTGCAGCACTCACAAATTGAGGTTTTGCCAGGCAGATCTCTCCTCAGAGATGCTCCCAGCCCAGCTCCAGAGAGGTTCAGGGAGAGGGATTTTGCCGTGTCAGGATCCATGGGGAGGAGGAGGAGGAGGATTGAATGGCTCCCTCCTGTTTGTCCCACCTGCCTGTGGGTTGCCCTCCTCTGGTGCCAGGGCGATGCTGCTGGGTGGGAGGAGGAGAGCTGCCCCTGCTTGGAGAAATGCAGCAATTGTCTGGGTTTCCCCAGGCTCCTTCCTGCCTGGAGTTACTGCTCCAGCCTGGGCGTTCTGGGGTTTTTCCAGCAGGACCTGAGCCCCAGCAGGGCTGTGGGGAGAGGGCAGGATAGGTCCTGCCTGGCCCTGCTGCAGCTCACCTGGCTGCACCCTGTTCTTTAATCCTTTGCTGAGCTGTGCTCCAGACCCCACCAGCAAACCCTGTCGTGTCTGTGGAGCCCGTGGGAGCTGCAGTGCCTGCTGCCATCCAGGGAGGGTGGCCTGACCCAGGTGTGGCACCTGGTGTGGAGCAGGGATGTGGCAGGGGGGATGTGAGTGCGTGCATGGAATTGGTGCTCTGGAAAACTGAGAACCCCCAGGCTGAGGGAAGCAGGTGGAATCTTCACAGAGATGGGCAGGGACCTGGCTGAGGTGGGAGGACAGGTGGGGACAGCCATGGGAGGCTCAGGTTTGTGGTTCTGGACGCCTCTCCAGCAGCCTGTTGAATGCAGCGAGTGGCAGGGAGCAGGCAGGGAACCAAAACAGCAAAAAATGAGTGGAGACATCTGGGCTGGCTCTGGGATCACTGGGAATTTCATGGAGCCAGCTCTTCCCATCAGACCTGCCAGCAGTGAGGGTTTGCAGGGTTGTGGTGGGCACCCACTGCCATCCCAGGGCCCTTGGGAGACCCTGGCAGAGGGACTCACCACTGCCCTGGCAAAGCAGGACCCTTCCTGCAGCGTGTTTGTCCCCAGCAGAGCTGCTGAGGAGGTGGAAGGAATGAGGCAGGAGAAGTGGGAAATGTGTATTTACTGCAGAAGGATGGTTTGGTGCTGTTGGACCAGCATCTGCTGTGAGCTGAGAGGACCAGGCAGGAGGCTGGGTTGGGGAATTGGCTCCTGCTGCCTCGAGGCACCTGGCTGTCACCTCATTTTTGGCTCCCCTGGCTGGTACCCTGTGACAGCAGCAGCTCCCTGGGGTGCCCAGCCACCAGGGATGCTTCCCACCCAGCACAGTGCCAGGGAAACTTGGTGTGCAAGGAAAAGAAGCAAATGCCAGCTAGATGGCAATGTGCCACCTGCGAGGAGCTGGCTCTCGCCTCCCATCTCCACCGATTTCACCCAAATGCTGCTGCCCCTCCACTGCCTGCACCTTCCCCTCCTCAGCACCAGCAGGAATGTGTACCTGAGGGATTTTTAAAGAAAGCCCTGCACGAGCAGAGGTAGAGACAGGCCCTGAGAGGGAGCACTGCCAGGGCTTCTCGCCAGGGATAGCCCTGGAGGGAGCAGCCATCCTCCTTTCACAGGCAATCAAGTTTCCAGCCCTTGGAGAAATGCCCCGTTCCCTGAGCTGCTGTTTGGCTTTGGAAAGAGGCTCTGGTCACACTGGAATTCCTTTTCTCCTCCAAATGTGTTTGGCTCTGAGTTTTCAGGTGAGGAGAGAGCCTGGGAGCCACAGGCTGCAGCGGGAGCCGGTATCCCTGGAAATGCTGCCCCATCCTGCTCCTGCCAGCACTCTGGGACTGTTCCTGTGTGCACAAACCCATCCAATTCCACCTCCTGCCCAGTTTTATTCATGGAAGAGCAGCCTCCTGAGCTCTGGAGCTGCAGCAGCATGAAAACCACTTCTCCAAAGTGCAGCTGAGAGGCCAGTCCTGGTGCGCGGCGGCTCGTGACGCCTGCAGCGCCACACAAGTTATTTAGGATGACTCTTATTTTGAGCAAAGAAGATAATTAGGCAGGCAAAGCCATCACGGAGATATTAATTACTGGCTGCTTGAAGATGTAAAGAAGGAGGAAGGTCTGAAGGGGTGCAGGGTTTGCAAGTCACCTGGCAGTGCTTTTGGCCAGACAGGGGGAGGCAGAGGAGACGGCGAGGAACGAGCAGGGTATTTACTTCTGAAACACAGCTCCTTAGCATATGCTGCCACTGCTATTTATAAGCTTTGAATCGTCTTTTCAATCCAGATAAGGCCAAAAGAAGTATTTTTCTCGCTCAGGAAACTAAACAAACCACCACAGATTTCAGCAGAGCACGGCTTTGCCAAGCAGAGCACAGCCCCAGCTGCCTGTGCTGGAGAAATGCGAGCAGCTACTGGGCAGGGTCACACCGAGGTGTCCCAGGGGGTGACTCTGGACCAGCTCCTGCCTGCTTTCCTGTGGGACAGATGGATATTTGGGATGTGCTGCTGTGGGGGAGCTCTCACATCTTCCTGCTGACCATCCCAGCAGTGATCCAGGCGCAGGCTGCACATCCTGGTCCTGCGAGGAGCCTTCCTCTTCCCAGGGATTGCCCATGGGCAGAGACACCCCAGAGTGCTGGAGGTGAACATGGGGCACCAGGAGAGGAAAGAACACGAGGGGATGAGCACGGTTTGTCTGGGCATCCCTCCTCCAACATCCAGGGAAGCAGCATATGGGCTGTGGCCTCTGGCACCTCTGCTAATGAAGGAGCCACTCAGCTGCTGGATAACGAGGTTCCCTCCTCCCACAGCCTGCCCAGCCCTTCACCTTTCCCAGGTCCAGGAGAGACAGAGCTGACACCCCTTGTTCCACCATGCTGGAGCCCAAGGGCTTCCCTGATCTCTCCTCTTTGTATTTAACACTGAAGGCAATTTTGGGGGGGGTTGTTAATTGCAATATTGTACTTCATTAAAGGAGGAGAGCGGGAGAGATTTGAAGGCCATCTCTAAACTGAAATTGCTGAAAGTCTAATTGCTGCTGACATCAGGGACCATTTAGTGCTGTAAAACGTAATTGCATCTCTGAACTGTTCTGAGCAGATAAGTGTTCCTCTGAACACTCCTCCTGGAGAAGACAGAAGAGCTGATGAGCATCCATCAACCAACCCCATGAAGAAGCAGCTCCCTGCTCCAGAGCTTACCACGGGCTGGCGGCCCTTCTCCAAAATGAAGAAATATTAATTGCTGCAAATTTTAAGTGAAAAACCCACGGCCAGGCAGGGAACATGGCAAGAGAGAGAAGTTGTGTTTGTTCCTTGCTCCTGGATCTGCTGAGGAGGGAAGGTCTCCTGCCTGTGTGCTGGATCTGGTCCCTGCTGGGGTTTTTTGTAGGATTGGGAATGTCCTGCCCTGCTGGCAACAGATCAGAGTCCTGTGGTGTGCCACTGGATGGGTTCAGGGAGGCAGGAGCACACACACAGCCACCCACCAAAATGTTCTTCTAGCAGCTTGGCTTGGAAATGGCAGGAGATAATTTCTGTTCCTCCTGAGGAGTCATTTACCAACATTTTATATGGGGCTGTAAGTGCACAGAATTACCTGCTGCCTTTCAGGACCTTTAAAATTATCTCCATTGCAAGGGAAAATTAAAGCAATGGAAGAATAGGGACCTATCTTTTATAGTGCATTAAAAAATACCCAGTCTGAAGGTTACTGAACCTGTGCTTTCTGTAAGGGAGAGCTAATCCAGACAATCCCCAGCAGTCTTTTTACTGCTCCACTCTGATCTCCCTGGCACAAAATCCATGAGCAGATTATCTTGGGAGCAGCAATGCTGATAAGCAGAGGGACTTAAGGCTTTTTGGACTTCTTTTTAATTAGTTCTATAGTGGGGTTTTTGTCTGCACACCTCAACTTCTCCTCCTGTGGAGCTTTGCTGGGCTTTCTAATGGCAGTCACACCTGCCTTGGGAAAGTAAGGAGTGTGCTCCATCATCACTTCCAGGCTTTGCTGAAGCTTTTTCTGGGAGTGTCAGTGGCTCTTCCACATCCTGGGATGTGAAACTCTTTTCCTTGGAGCATCCCAGGCTAAGGAGAGGGCGGCTCTGCCACCCAGCATGGCCCTGCAAGGACAGGGGCTGGGGAAGGGAGCAGAGCACAGATTCATCACCACATTTTTGCCTCTCATCCCACAGGTATAAATAGAAGCTCCTTCAGGCTGGCCTCACCCTGGGCTCAGCCGGGAAATGTCAGCAATAAACAATAAATTCCTGCCGGCTCGGCGGGGCTGCCCGAGCCCACGGACACATCTGCTGCTCCTGCTGCCCTCTAATCACCCCCTGGCCCACTGAATTAATCAAAACGCCCAAAGGTCAGTGGGAGAAGAGGCCACCTTCCCGTGCAAGTCGGGTTTATTTTTCCTTTTAGAGCCCGTGGTAAAAGGCAGGCCCTGGCCAGCGCCTTCCCATCAATCTCTCCCAGCTCATGGAGAGGAAAGAGGGTCAGAACCTGCTAATGAGTTCAGTTTTCCTAATGGTTATTTTATCATTGGAGCAGAATAATTGTAATAATAATGATACATCCTGCCTGCTGTCTGGAGAGCGCCAAGCTGCCTTTGTAAAGCCTGACAAAGGCATTTATTTATATTTTTTATTTGCAGCCTCTGTGATTAGAGGGCAGTGTTCAGAATAGCCCAGTCGAGTTAAATAATCCTGGTAACAGCGCTTTGAGTCTAATTGCTGCCCTTTTCTTTTTTAGGTACTTGCTCCCCTAATTAAGATCACAATCGAGCTGCATCTCGAGTGGGAGGGGGAAAGCAATTAAAGAAGGGGGATTAGGTTGCTCTGCAGAGGTTTTGGGCCCAATCCTGCCAGCTGGGGATGCAGGATTCCCACAGCCAGGGCTGGGTGTGCTGCTGGGCTTTGCAGGAGTGGGAGCAGTGCTGGGCTGGTGCTGCTGGCTTGTGCTGACCCGTGCAGGAGCACAGGGCTGGCATGAGGCTCCTGGGGCTTCACAGGGAGCTGTTGTGGGGTGCAGGGGTGGCTTCTACCCCTGGTGTAGCTGGAGGTCTCCTGCCACCTCCTCAGCCCTGGCTGAGCCTTGGCTGTGCTGGGTCCATCCCTGGCTGTGCATTCCCAGCATGTACCAGAGGCTGTGGGACTGTCACTGTGTCCTGAACGTGTCCTGGGCATCTGCTGGCTCCTGGCTCTGGTGGCAGTGCTGGCCTCCAGCTCCACAGCAGCACCTTGGCTGCCAAACCCCTTTTTTGGCAAACTTTTCCTCCTCCCGTTTATCAAACAGCCACATTTTTAAGCAATGAGCACGCGTTGTGCTGGCATTTCCACATCCCTCTGCCCAAGGACAGACCCTTCCTCAGGAACTGAGACTCACCATCCACAAAAAAACCCTTTCTGCTTAGAGGAAAACCCCTCCAGGACTGGAGCAGAGCCAGGACAGGAGCCCTGCACTCCTGGCTGTGCCCTCCCACCCCTGGCAGCTCGGGGAGGAATGGGAGCTGCTGGATGTTTGCTGGTGGACTGCCAGAGCTGGGAGCAGCACCTGAGTCCCCACCTGCAGAACAAGCTCCTGCTGCTGTGGGAAGGTGATTTTAGGTTTTTCTGTCTTGCTGGAGCAGGGCTCCCCGCTGCCCTCTCCCCTGGGGCAGGCTGGGGCTCTGTCAGTGTTTCCTGGTCGAACTCTGTTTGCCTGCCAAGCTTTTTAATTTGTTTTATAAATTGCCAGATCCAGCAGGCTGAACCGCGGGCCCCCTTCTGTGATAAAAATAAAATAACAGCTTGAACTCAGAGGGCAGAGCAGTGGGGCTGGCAGGAAATGCTGATTAAAGGGCAGGTGGAAATGATGAGGCTCCGAAACCGGAGGTTTCATCTTCCGCTCTTGAGTGAAAAATGCAGATTTGGGAAGTTTTGCTGACTTGGTTTGTGGAGCCTCCAGCTTCTCACGCTGCCATCCTCAAGCTGCCCGTGGCTGAGAGCACCCAGAGCACTGCTGGTCCTCCCTCCCTGCAGGGTGTGCAGGGGCTTTAGCTGGGAATTGCTCTGGAATTGCTCATTTGAGCCAGACCCAGAGATGGTGCACAAGGTTTGGCCTCACCCCTCATCTTTCCCTGGCAGGTAAAACCCCTCTGATTTGTGCCTTACCCAGAGCAGGAGCTAATGTGCCATGAAATTGCTGCACAACGAGGGGGGTACATTATTCTGGCAGAACTCTCACTGGGTATTTACTCTGCTTTGAACTCAAGATATTTGCTTGGGAGAAATGATTTTTTCTTTTGCCAGCAGGCAAACCTGTAGCTCCTTTGCCTTTGGACTGGGAGATCACTGTGAAATTGCAGCAGGAAGGTTTCAGTCCCCTGAATATCCTTAAACTCCGTGGGTGCCTTACTGCTATCAATGCTGGGGAGAAAAAAAGCACCGTATTTCCTGCCATAAAGTTTGTCCAACTCCCCCCCACTCAGCAAACCCTTCTTTGATATTAAGCAAAACTGTTGTGGTTTTTATTTTGGATATTTTTTTTTTCACGTTTTGAACACGACAGGAAGGTGCAGTTACCTTGGAAACAGCGGTGGGATGGTGCTTGGTGGCAGGGCAGCACTCAGGCAAAACTCTCTTGGGAAGGTGGGCATGGAAAAGTGGGGTTTGCTGGGTCCTGAGCCACCCTGGGAGTTCCAGGCTGGTGGCAGGTGAAGCTGAGCCAGGGGAGAGGCTGCTCCGTGTCCAGGTTTTGGTGTGCAAATCAGGCCTGGGAGCCTTGGAGAAGGTTAGGCTGTGTTTTTGGGAAGCCTGTCTTTTTAAGGCTTTTCCTCTGCTTTGGATTAGTGAGACGTGCTCAGATCATCCAAAGGGAAAGAATTTCTCAAATCAAAAGGACTTTTGCTGCTGAGGCCCCTCTGGTTTAGTTCTGCTCCCCTGCCCCATCCCAGGAGATGCTGCCACTCCTGGATCCTGAGGATGCCATAAAGGAACCCTGCGCTGATTAAAAGCTGTTGGTGTTTTTCATTTTAACCAGGAAAGTATTTCCATCCTCACTGGGTTTAATTTACAGTTTGCAGCCAGATTGGAGCTGGGAAGGGATCCCACTGGTGGCTCATTTGTTTGAAGGTGTCACTACACAAAGACACGTTCTGGGAATGCCAGCGGCGCTGGAGGGGAGGATGTGCCAACAGCAGCTCTCAGCTGTGTCCCAGCCATTCCCAAACCTTCCCAGGGGTCATCCTTCATCTCCTGGGGGACAGGAAGCTGCCAGGCTGCTGAGGGATGGGGATAACCCAGGTGAAAGCCCACGGAAGCAAAGGCTGTGGCTGCAGTGCTGGCAGAGCTGCATCCCCTCATCCCTCGCTCCTCTCCCAGGGCTGTGCCAGCCAGCCTGGGAATGGCCACCAGCTATTCATAACAGGGCTCCCAGCAGGGTGCTTTGTGTTTTGTGGTGTCTGCAGCCTGTTCTTTAGCACCTCCATGCATTCCTGTTGTGCTCAGAGGGAGGGCAGCCCGTGTTTGCAGGGTGCAGCAGGTTAACCACGTCTCTCCTCCCTTGCAGCCACACTGGGGACGCTGGATTTCAGTTTGCTCTACGATCAGGAGAACAACGCTCTCCACTGCACCATCAACAAAGCCAAGGTAGGGCTCAGCCTGGCTGTGGGGACAGAAAGGACTGGCTGTGCCAGGGGAACACCATCCATGGCTGTGCCAAGGGATCCCAATCCATGGCCATGCCAAGGGATCCCAATCCATGGCTTTGCCAGGGGAACCCCATCCATGGCTGTGCCAAGGGAATCTGACTCCTGGCTGTGCCAAGGGATCCCAATCCATGGCTGTGCCAAGGGAACCCAATCCATGGCTGTACCATGGGAACCTGACTCCTGGCTTATGGTTGTGTTCATGAGTCCCAGGACAAGGGAAGAGATGAGAATTTGACTCCATGTTTCAGAAGGCTGATTTATTCCATTATGATATTATATTATATTAAAATGCTATAGTAAAACTATACTAAAAAGAATAGAGAGAAAGGATCCATTCAAAAGAAAAGGTCAAAAGGAAAAGAAAGGAATGATAACAAAAGCTCGTGGCTCTCAGAGAGTCTGATACCGCTGGGTCTTTGATTGGTCATTAAGTAGAAACAACTCACACCAACCAATCTAAGATGCACCTGTTGGTAAACAATGTCCAGACCACATTCCACAGCCATCAGATAGTTATTGTTTACTTTTCTTTTCTGAGGCTTCTCAGCTAGAATAGGAGAAAAATCCTAGCAAAGGATTTTCATAAAAATATCATGGTGACACCTGGCTGTGCCAAGGGAACCCAACCCATGGCTGTGCCAGGGATCCCAATCCATGGCTGTGCCAAGGGAACCAGACCGCTGCCTGTGCCAAGGGATCCCAACCCATGGCTGTGCCAAGCATCCCGGGGTTCCATCACCTTCCCAGCCCCTCTGCCCTCTCCTTCCCCTCCATCCCTGCCTCTCGGGGCGTTCCCAGGGTCGGGAGCCGGCTGCTCATCCCCGCGAGGAGCTGGATTGATGCTTTTTCGAGCAGCCCATCCCGATGTTGTTATTTACTGTGACCGGCTGTCGGTTTATAAATGGCTCTTTTAAATGCTGCTAATCACGGCCCCAAAGTGCTGCGCCTCAGCGCCTTTGCCGTCTGCGTGATTGAGGCAATTAGGGGCTTTTTGCACATTTGGGAGCAGGAACGGCGAGCTGAGGTCCTGATTCAGCCTCGGGGCTGTGGAAGGTGCTGCTGGGGGCTGCTGGGTTCCCCTCTGCATCACCCAGTGACCACCAGAGGTGGGCTGGGGGGGAAAACACCTCAATCCCTGCTTGGGAAGGGATGGGGGTTTTGGAGAAGAGGCTGTGAGCTGAGCCCCAGAGGCTCAGACCACGCTGTCTCCCCTCCATGGCTCGTGGTTTGCAGCCCCCACCCCAGCATGGCTGGAATACCAGCACCAAAGCTGGGTTTTGGGGATGGGTGAGAAGGGATCAGCCCCAGCGCTCCTGGAGCTGCTCCTGGCAAGGGCAGCACGCCCAGGTGCCAGGCAGGACGGGCAGGGCAGGGCTGGGGCAGGCTCTGGGCTTTGCCTCCCTCTGTCTCCCGTGAATCCGCCGGGTCAGGCTTCCCTCGGCGCACACGGGAGCCGTGCCAAGGAGGAGATTTCTAATTGGGTTTGGAGTGGGTGGAAGACAGGGAGGAAAGGAGAGCTCTGGGCAGCAACTGATAAATCTCACATCAGCGAGAGCGCAGGCAGGGCTGACACAGGAGAGCCCTGGTCCCTGCTGTGCCCACCCAGGGGTGTGGGGGTACCCCAGCATTGCCCGTGGGGAGGGCAGAGCCCCCCTGGCCACCCTGACATTCAAGCTCTGGAGTCCTGTTCATTTCCATTCTGCTCTCATTCTCCCATTTTTCTCTTTTATTTACATTGCCATCTGCTCGCTCTCATTTCATCTCTCGCCTGGGGAAAGCTGCCAAAACTTGACTACAGAAAGGTAAGGGCCAGGACCCCGCTGGCTCCGGGGTGGTGCAAGTAGAGCTGGAGAGGAGGAGATGGGGGAAAAGCCCCAGCAGTGCTGGGATGTGATTTACCCTTGGCCCAGCTCCTGGGTAGCTGTGTCACCCTCCAGGGAAACGCCCTGGGGACGAGCCCAAGTCCAGCAGCTCCTGGAGCTTTGCTTGCTGCCAGCAGCCATTCAAACCTGGGCTAGCTCAGCCACGTGAGACACGTTTTTCTTTCTCTCTGATAACCCCAAACAACCTCCCTCTCTCCCTTTATTTTACTTCTCTTTATTTCTTTTTTAATCTCCAGCACTTTTATGTCTGCTGATGCTCCCCACGAGTCCCATTATCACCCTGGGGAGCAGCAGGTCCAATCCAACCTGTGGTGCTCCACCAGCAACTCCTTGCTCTGCAGCCCTCAGCTGCTGGAGGAGCTGAGGTCTTCACTCCAAGTGGGAATTCACCCTGCTGCTGTGCCTGGAATATTTCTGAGAGGTTTCTGAGGGGTGTAAGTTCACAGCAGGAATTGTGAGACTCTGGGTGTCACCAGACAGGTGGTAGCAGGAGAAGGCAGGGACAGGCAAAAGCAGACAGGAACAAGGAGGAACAGGCAGGAGCAGCCAGGAAAAGGCAGGAGCAGCCAGGAAAAGGCAGGGAAAGGCAGGAGCAGCCAGGCTGGCAGCAGGCACCTCGCACTGATGGCTCTCAGTGCTGGCAGCCTGTCACACTTCAGGCACGGCTGAACTCAGACACGTTGTAGCTCAGCTCGGATCAATAGGAGAATAAATCAGGGCATTGTGGAAGCTCATTCCTGGACTGCAGGAGCAGCCAGGCTGGCAGGAGGGAGTCCTGGGGTTGTGTGGATCTCTGCTGTCCTGCGTGGGACAGGGTTGGGGTGTGCTGGGCATCACCCCCTCCTAGAAAATAGGATGGAAAAGGATTTGGTGAAAGTGCAGACACCTGGTTCTGTGCCCTGCCATGCCATGGCTTTACTGAGGATCTCACTTTGTGCTGAGTCCTACAGAGCCCACTCTTCCATAGGGGATTTTTAGGGGCATGCAGCAGCACAGACACACAGGCTGTGCTGTCCTATAGCTCCAGTGGTCTCCTGATTTTGGGAGAAACGTGCCTGGGACAAGCCTCAGGGCAGTGGGGAAGGAGCTCCTGGCCCCAGGCAGGCCATGCCAGGCAGCTGCTGCCCATTGGAGCATCCTTGGGCTGCTCTCCCTGCACCTCTGGCCAGAAAACACCCAGGAGCCTCCACCCCACTGAGCATTTGGCTGTTCCCTCCCTTCCACCCGAGGTGAGGGCTGCAGGTCTGCACTGAGCATTACTTATGTATTAACTCATCAATATTTATCACTGCAGGGAAATTCCTCCAGCTGTCGGGCTCCTCTGGGCTGGCAGGGTGGAAATGCAGTTTGCCCCCTTTTCAGAATGGGATGCCACAGCCTGGGAATTATCCAGGCTGGTTTTTGGGCAGGCAGCTCGTTGTGGGGTGAAGGATGGAATGAATCCATCTCCTGTGATTTCTGGACGCCTCTAGCGTGGCATTAATCGGCAGCCCGATTAGCCCAAGCTGTAATTAAATCCTATTGATTAGCTAAATGTCACTGGCACAGGGAGCAGCTGGCAGAGCCTGGGATGCTGGAGGTCTCTGTAGGATTGCAGCAGAGATTTTGGGGTTGGGTAGAGAAAAGATGAAACTTAATCTCAGCTCCATAAATCAGCGCAGCAGCAGGAAGAGCTGGAGCCAGGGAGATGCCCCAGCTGGATCTGAGGGGACACTCTGTGCCTTGTCCCTCTCTGCCTCTCATCCCTCTTGGAGAAGCTCCAGGCTGGTGGTCCCTCCACCACCCATGGGGGTCCTCCCTGTGGGAGGGATCCTTGCAAAGCAGAGCCCTGTTAAATTCAGCTGTTTGTGCCAAACACGTATCGAGTGACACGGGAGGGAGGTAGACGTGACATTAGGAGCCATTTTCCAGGCTCCTGTCACTCCATCTTCCATAGCACATCTATTAAAAAAGCCTTTAATAGCCTCCTCAGAAGGTAATTTAATTGAGCTGAATTGATGGGTGAATTACAGAGCTGCCTGTCATTCTCCATCCATTTTCCTGGGAATCTGCCTGCTCGGTTCTGATTTCATTTGCTCTGCAGCCCGGGCAGGTTGGGCACCTCTGACCAGGGAGGCTGGGGAGAGCACAAGTGGATTGTGCAGGCAATTCCCTGCAGAGTCTGGGGACAGCCCAGCCCCTTCCTGCCCTGTCTGCCCCATCCTCATCATCTCCTGGACCAGAGACACCTCAGAGGCTGCCCTTAATCAGATTCACCTCCATTCACTGCTGATATTTTTATCCTTTTGGCTTTGCTGTAGAAGCAAACTCCTCTTTGCTGGGCACCATTTGGCCTCCCTTGCCCCAGGGCAGCAGGTTTGTCTCTGTAGCAGAGCCCTTGCTCCAAGTCAGAGACACTCCCAAGGTCAGGAGCATCCTGGACAAAGCTGTGCAGCTCAGAGAGGCTCCTGTGGTGCTGTGGGTCAGGCTGGCTGAGTTATTCCCTACCTGTGAGGCATGGAAATGATTCCCCCAGCATTTCCCTGCTCGATTTGCCCAAATCCTGGATGATTGCATTCCTTCTGCACACAGCCATTCCACCAGCAGTCCATACAAATGCTTCCCTGCCACTGGATCCCTGGCAGCTGCACACACTCGTTATCCAGGCACTCTGCTCCTCACAAAAAGGGTGTGAGGACTCTTCAGCATCCCCCAGCCGTGTCTCCCTGCCCGGGCTGGAGCCAGGATTGGATGGGTACCTCTGCAGAGAAGCCCTGCTCTGCTCCAGGCACAGGATTCCTTCAGCCAGCCCAGAGTAATTCCTGCAGGGATCCCACAGACAGGCTGGAAATCATCCAAGGACTTCCACCACAGAGCCGTTCTCATTCCTGCTTAGGACTGGTGAAAATTAGGCTCCATTTGTCACCCTCCTGACTCGCTTCCTTGCCCTGAGGAGTTGTTTTCCATGCAGTCTGTGCAGGTGTGGCATTGAGCTGTGTTTGTGCACCACTCCTGGATAATTTTCAGGGGGTTTAGAAGAGGAACAGAGGCACAGTTTGTGCCTTCCCTCTGCCCAGAGCAGGGCATCGCTATTACAAACCTGACCCACATCATCCTTTAAAAGCTGTGAGGGTCTCATAGAGAATCCATCAGGAATGGCCACAGCGAGTGTTTCCTGGGATTGGTGCTCCTGCAACCCCAGATTCCTCTGGGAACACCACAGCATCTGGCTGGCACCAGCCTCCCACTGGCCTGGAGCTGTTCTTCCTGAATAACTGGGAGTAGGTAGGTGCTATCACACCCTCTGGAAGTGGCACCACAACAGCAGAGGTGTGTGTTTGCTCAGAAGCAATTATTAAATGACAGAACCCTGTAATTTCAAAGCTGGGAAATCACTGCACTGATTCTCTTCACCCCCAAATTAATCGTGATGAGGGTGGCAGAGCTGGCTGCTGGGAGGGAGGGAGGGAGGGGTGGATGGTGCCACGTGAAGGTGAGGAGCTCCCCAAAGCCCCTCCTGCAATGCACAGACTGGAATGCTGAGCCTGGATCCTGCAGAACCCACTCTCCCCTCCTTCCCCAATCCTGGGGGAGCCACAGTTGCTCCATGGAGCCCAGGATGGGCTCAGTGAGGCCATCCTGCCTGCCCAGCATCTCACTGCCATCCTGATTCCTGCTTCTTGCTGTTCCCTCTCCAGGGCCTGAAGCCAATGGACCACAATGGTTTGGCTGATCCTTATGTCAAGTTGCACTTGCTCCCCGGAGCCAGCAAGGTGAGAAACCTTTTCACTTCTCCTTCCTTTCCTGGGGCTGCAGCTTCTCACTGGAAATCAGGCCTGGGAGAAGCTCCTGACCCAGGGGCTGCGAGCTGCTGCACCCAGACCTTGATTTTCTTGAGTGAAAGGTGCTCAGAGAGAGCAGGAGGCAAGAATTGGGGTTGAATCCATCCTTACTGAGATGGAAAATGCCTTGCTGGGAAACCACTGGCTGGCAGCCAGGTGCCAGCCCTGATTCCTTACCTTGGTAGCCCAGCATGGGAATGCTGCATTCCAGGAGCCCCTGGGAAGCACCGAGTGAAACAACTTCAGCCATAAACAAATCAGACCCTTTTAATTTCCTTTTTTTTTTTTTTTTACCTTTATTCTTTTGCATTTAAAACCCCTCAGATCATAATAAAACAGAGTATAAATCATAAGGGAAATATTTCCATCTCCTTAGGTTCAGCACTTGCTGGAGAGAAGAGTAATTAAAGATATTGATGTGTGGTGAGAGCTCGGTGTAAGTGACGGGGATATGGAATTTAAATGCTCGATGTGTGTGTTAGGAATATTAATTGCACTCTTATTCCACACGAAAGGAAAGATTTTCTTTTCTTTTGGGGGGGTGGGGGGGAGGTGTATTTACTTGTTACAGTTCAGTTGGATTAATTCCTAATGTTCAGGGTGGCAGAGGGAGTTTTTAACCACATTCTGAGCTTCCGCTGCAAACAGAGCCGCGAGCGCTTTCATCAGCAATATTATCAGTCATTTCCATGTTTTGTAAATCCATTGATTAGCATTTCTGCTGGAGCTGGTGGAGGCAGGAGAGGCAGGAGGGGAGGCAGCACAGGAGCTGCAGATCCACAAGCCATGGGGGGACTCTCCTTGCCCCCTCTGCCCCATCTCTGTGCTTTGTTCCAAACAGCACTGCCCTGGGAGAGGGGAGAGCAGCTCTGGGGGATTGGGGGTTTGTCCTGGGCTAGTTCTTCCTGCAGCAGGACACTCCCTGAGTCCCTCGGGTGTTTCTGTCCCAGATTTGGGCTCTCAGGCACCTGTGGGTGTGGGAAGCAGGGCCGGGTTCATTCCCCATGCAGAGCTGGTTGCTGACTCCTGAGTCATTCCAGATGGGAGAAAAAGGCACTCCCGGAGCTCAGCTCCTCTGATCTCTCTCGTGTTCCTTCCCAGGGCAGCTTTGGCAGCTGGGTGATGCTCATCATGTCACCCCCTTGGCTAAACCCGCTTTCCTTCCCAATCCCTGGAGCCCCAGGGATCAGGATCTGGTACCTGCAGATCTGAGCAGGCTCTGATGCCATTAGGGCACCTTCCCCGCTGTCCTCGTCACTCAGGGCTCGTGAACCCAAGGTGGAGAATGCAGCAGCTCCCCATAAAGTTCCACAAGACAACTTGGAGGTGTTGGTGTGCTGAGAGTTTCTTATGCCCAGCAGCAGCTGAGGCAGGGATTGAGTTGTCTGACACCTAATTAGAGGGAAAATTGCTGCTCTGCCAGGCGGTGCCAGGCTGGGAGCCTGGTGGAGAAGCCAAATCTGCAGCCTTAGTCTCTTTTTTCTGTTCTCCCCAGACATGAGAGGGGCTCAGGGAGTGAGGAGATCCACGTCCCCTGAGCTGGGGAGTGGCTGTGTGCCAGGATGTCCCATCCATGCAGGGGACACGAGCCCTGCTGTCCCATCCTCCTGCTCAGCAGAGCTGCTGGTGCTGACAAAACACCTGTCAAATAAGTTGTTTGGAGTCAGGCAGGATCAGGAGCTGTGCTGGGAGCAGGAGTGCAAACAAACAGCCAGAACAGCAAATCAGCATTTTTTATTTGATCCAGAAAACATTTTTTTCCCTCCCTTGCTCTCTGCTACTGCTTAAATAAAATCCTGGTGCGTGCTCTGCCAAGTTCCCACTTGGCTGGCTGTTTCCAGGACGCAGGATGAGGGGCTGGGCTGGTTTGGAAATGAGTGAGTTGCTGTGTCCCTGCCCCTCAGGTGGGTTAGGGGTGGATTTGGGCCACCCCACTGAGGCTTCCAACACTGGGGACAGAACAGTGACAGCACCCATTGCCCCTTCATCTCCAAACTGAGCCTCCTCTCCTGCCCAGGTGACCGATCCCACTGACCCTCCCCACTGCAATCCCACCTCCTGTGCTGCCCAAGTGACCAATCCCACTGACCCCACCTCCTCTGCTCCCCCAGGCCAACAAGCTGAGAACCAAAACGCTGCGCAACACGCTGAACCCCACGTGGAACGAGACCCTCACCTACTACGGCATCACCGACGAGGACATGATCCGCAAGACGCTGAGGTAGGGCCCCGTCCTGCCCGGGGGGACACGGCCCCCTTCCCCCCCAGCCAGCTGTCCCCCTGTTGTGGTGTGATGTCACATCTTGCCTCAGTTTCCCCAGTCCTTCCCCAGGTGTCATTCACCTCTCCTTTTCCCCATCCTGACTCCTGCTGGGCACTGTCTATCAACCCAGAAATTCCAGGGGGGCATCGAGTGATTGGCAGGTTTAAAGGATGCTCTGCACCCCCTGAGGGGCCATTGGCCCACCCAGGTGTCCCTCTCACCTGAGACCCCCTGTCCCCGTAGCTGGTTGGTGGTCCCTGGGTTCCCCCCCTGCCCTGCATAAAAGGATGGGCACACCATGCTCAGGGGGTTCTGGTGAAGCTATTACTGCATTCAGAAGCCATGTGGCCCAGGATAAAAACTCTGGATTAAAAACTCTCCATCAGGACCCACTCCTTCCTTCACCATCACCTTTCTCCAGCCTGGGTTCCCCCCCTGCCCTGCGTAAAAGGATGGGCACACCATGCTCAGGGGGTTCTGGTGAAGCTATTACTGCATTCAGAAGCCATGTGGCCCAGGATAAAAACTCTGGATTAAAAACTCTCCATCAGGACCCACTCCCTCCTTCATCATCACCTTTCTCCAGCCCAAGGAAGCCTGAGGAGTGACTCTCTTCTGCCAACAAACTCCAGCCATAAGCACTGGAGCTCGGGCCTGCCTGGGCTTGTCCCCACGTGCCCAGCTGTGACCCACAGGTAGCATCTCTGGGGGGAAAACACCACAAGTGCCACGATTTGGTTCAGCAGCTGGGACTGGACAAGTCAAGGCACGTCCCATTCAGTAATATTGATAAAAACCAATACCTGGTCACCCCAGTGACAATGTCACCCCGGGGTGGTATTCACATGCCCTCTGAACAGAGAGAAGCAAAGAAAGAAAAACAGTTCTTATCTCTTGCTGTGCCTGCGTTATGCCAAAGTAGAATGCAATGTGGAGGTTGTTTTACCCAGAGTGAGGATGTTTTGTTCCCTTGGCCTACCAGGGCCTGTGTGAATCCGGACTGTCACGAGACAGCCATGAGAGAATCAGAGGTGAGGGCAGTCCTGAGCAAGAATGAGTCCAAGGCAGATTCAGTTCAGATGCAATGCACATAGTATAGCATAACAAAGTAATTATTTAGCCTTCTGATGATAGAGCCAGATACATAATTTTCTCTCTCCAACACCTGAGCCGCCCTTGATTTACAACACTCAGCCCCACAGGAGAGTCCTGGAGCTGCTCCCAGCAGAGCAGGGCAGAGTTCTCCCTAGCAAAGAGTTGGTGAGTGTGCCCTGCAGGCATCCATCAGCCCCAGAGCCACTGACACCTGGTTTACAGGCAGCCTGGGCTGGGGGAACCAGCGAGGAGCCTGTTCCTGCTGCATCACTCCCTTCAGAGCCCTCTGCCTGGCTCCTGCCTGCTCAGCTGGGCTGGGCTGGTGATTTCTTCCTTCTGTTGAAGGAAGGAAATTGATGAATCTTACTCCGTGTTCTTAGAAGGCTAATTTATCATTTTATGATATTATATAATATTAAAGAATACTTAAATTGAAACTATACATATAATATTAAAGAATACTTAAATTGAAACTATACTAAAGAATAGAGAAAGGATACAGACAGAAGACTACAAGGAATGATGATGATGAAAACCTTTGACTCCCTCTTCAGAGTCTGACAAATCTGGACAGTGATTGGTCATTAAGTAAAAACAATTCACATGTTGAATAAACAAGCTCCAAACCACGTTCCCAAGCAGCAAAACACAGGAGAAGAAAATCAGATAATTATTGTTTTCATTTTTCTCCGAGGCTTCTCAGCTTCCCAGGAGAAGAATCCTTTTTTCCAGAAAATATGACAGTGACAGTGTGGTTTAGGTTTAACCTCTCCATGCCCAGCTCTCACAGGCACATGTCGAGGTTTTGTAGTTGTGTCTTGCTGAGAAAATCTCCTCAGGGAAGTTCTGGGCCCCTTTCAGGGCTGAGCTTTTTGTTAGAAACCTGGAGGCACCTGTGAATTATTGTCCAGCTAAACAAAGAATGTAAGTCTTTATTTTACTATTTTATTTTGTTGGTTCAGCTTGTGCATTCAGCATCTCCCAGGGGCTGGGAGAGGTTGTGTGAGGGTGGAGCTGGACAGGGGCAGAGCTTGGAATGATGCTCTGCAGGGAGCAGACACCAGTGAATGCAAAGATTTCTCATATTTTAGCCTCTGTCCCACCTGGATGAGGGCAGGAATTGTGGGCAGCCTCGGCTGCTCCATCACCACACTGCTCTGGGGCCGTGCTGCAGGATTTGCTGTGAGATCCACGGGCAAAGAAAGGATTTTCCATCCTTCTCCAAGGACTCAGGGCTTTGCCAGCTCCGTGGCTGCAATCCCACCCTCCTCATCTGCAGGTGCCTCTGGGGGTTTGTGATTTTCCTCATGCCAGGAGCTCAGAGCTGCCTGGGGAAAGGTGCTGCTCGGAGGTGAAGCAAGGCAGAGCCCACCTGTTGTCTGCAGTGTGCAGGGTGATGGGAAATGCAGCGCCGTGGATTATTATTTTCACTTGGAAAACATTAGTCATGCTGGAAGTGCTGCAGGCTGGTGGGGCTGGGAAGCCTCCAGTTTGTTGTTATTATTGGTGGGTATTTTTTCACTGCAGGCTTTGAAGTTTGCAGCCTCCTCGAGCGTGGAAATGGGTTTGTAAGGAGATGTTGGCTGAGTTGTTTGCTGGAAGGGAGCAGCAGGGCTCGACCCCCATTCTTCCAGGGCTCTGGCAGCTGCTTCTCCCTTGGGAAGGGCTGTTTATCCTGGAGGCAGCAGGGAGCTGTGGGATGGGGGATGCACAAAAAAAAGTGCAGGGCTGGATTTGCCTTTTTCCCCACTGAAATCCTGCTCTGCCCCATCCCATTCCTGCCGGCCAGGCTGGGGGCTGTGGAGCTCCTTGTGCCCTCCCCAAAGCTCAAAACTGTGCATGGACCCCTGTGGCCCACCTGGGACCCCTCAGTCAGCAGGAGAATGTGGCTGGATGGACTTTAAAGATCATCTCATTTGGGCAGGGACACCTCCACTATCCCAGGCTGCTCCAAGCCCTGTCCAACCTGTCCTTGGGCACTTCCAGGGATCCAGGGGCAGCCACAGCTTCTCTGGGCACCCTGTGCCAGGGCCTGCCCCCCCTCACAGGAAAGGATTTCTTCCCAATATCCCATCTAAACTGCCCATCTGTCAGTGTTTTGGTGTGGCTGGAGCTGTTTCTCTGCTGTGAGCTGGCCCTTCGCTCTCCCAGTGCTGCTTCCTGCAGGAAACTTCTCCATGCACTGGGTGCTTTGCCTCACCCATCCATCTCCTCCTCAAAATATCTCCTTTTCCACGAAGAAAAATCAGCTTCAAAGCCAGGAGGACTCTGGTTTTCCCTGTGTTGATGAGGAGAGGCTCCTGCCAGGCAGCTGGTGCTGCTTGAAAGAGCATCAGTGATGTTCCCATGGGTCTGGGCAGTGGCCATTCCCTGGGAGCCTCCCTGCTGCTGAGCTGGGCAGGGAATGCAATTCCAAAGTCTCTTTAATGTGAAAATAAAGGCAGATATCAAAGCTGCCGCCAGCATTCGCCTCCCTACAGCCTGGAGATGTCTCAGGGAAGCTGGAAAAGCACCCAAAAATCTTCCCAGCCCAGCTGGTGGGACGTGTCCAGCACGGACTGCTGGGGTGGTGCTGGCCTGGGGCACCCTGCCAGTGCCGGCAGCCTTTTAGGAGGGGACAAGTGGCACTTGTCAGGACATCCCAGAGAGCTGGGTGTTGGATCCCCTCCTGCCCAAGCCCCCCAGCCCCATATCATGGCCAGACAGGTTCTCCCTCATCCCTTGAGGGCCTTGTCCCAGCTGGTGGAGTGACTTTGCTGTGACAGACCCCAGGAGCCAGCAGGGCCAGCCTCCCCGAGGTGAAGGAGAGGTGAAGGCAGCCCAGCTAATTGCTCTGGCAAGCAGGATTTTGTTAATGAAGCAACCCCCTCAAAGAGCAGCAGATATTTGGGATTTCATGGAGAGCAGCAGGTGGGAGGATCTCGAAAGGGCTCATCCATTCATTGAATTAAATATCCCTGAGTGTAACCCAAGGTTTAGCAGGGATGAAACCACCCACCAGCCTGGGAAAAGGCAGGTTCAGAGCCATGCAAAACACACTGGAGTGCACAGATGGATGGGATTGGGGACAGATTCCCCTGCCAGGAAGTCCCACCCTGGAGCCCCCATTCCCACCATAGGGTACAATGTCAGAGGGAGGCAGAGAAATGCTGCAGGGGAAGCTGGAACAGGCAGAATACAATCTCCTCCAGTTAAATAATAGATGTAAGATACAATAAATAAATTGCATTCATAATAAATACCCGAGCTGGCCAGATATTGGATACAATTATTCATATCCAGCTATATTGGCGAGGTGATGCATTATTCATGGGGTACTCAGCTAGCCCACGAATGCCAGGAATTCTTTGTTTAATCATGTGTTTGACAAACATCATGACTCATTAAATGTATTATTCAGAAAATAGTATTTGATCAGGACTAATAAGCAGAGTGCAGCCACTTCAAGGTTTGGGGTCCCAAATTGCTTTACTCTGGATGAATGAGGTTTGCTTGGAATTGCAGGTGCACTTGTAATTATAACTCATTTCTGCTGTGGTTTCTGTGCTCAGACTTGGAGGCATTTTGTGATGGAGCCCATGATGGAATCCTCCTTTTTTGTTTTCTGGAGAACTGGCCTTTCCCAAGGTGTTATTTTGTCTCCTTGCCTGGTATTGCCTGTCCTTAAACCAAGCCAGCATCCCCTGCTCCTCACGGAGAGCCTCCCTTGTTACCATAAGGGATCTTAGGCACAGAGGATGATCTCAGGCTCTGCTCTGTGTGTTTTTGTGGAAAAGGGTCCTTGCTGACCCCCATTTCCCCTTTCCACACTGGGGAAGAGGCCGAGGAGCTCGTGTGAGGGAGCAGAAGCCATGAGTCAGCTGCTGGAGCTGCTCGGTGAGTCAGGGCTGGAGCCCAGGAGCCCGGGCTGAGTAGGAGGGAGGAGAAATTTAATGAGCAGTGATTGTTCATTTGCTGCTTAGTTTCCTTCCAAGGTGCTTTTCACAGCCATTAATATAAAGATCAGGACCCCACAGTGAGGATATCAAATGAAACACCAGGCTGGAGGGATTTGGATTAATAAGGAGAGATGGGGAAGGGGTGAAGCTGCAGCTCCAGGCTGAGGATGGAAGGGGAACGAGGCTGCCAGAGGCATCCCCTGCTGTTTGTCGTGGGGCTGATTTTCTAACCCAAGGCATAAAAATTCCATCACATGGATTTCTCCTAATAAAATCCAAGCTGGTGTGATTGCATTATGCCCTTTTCCAAAGGGAGGGATGGGGCTGGAGCTTCCTGCTCATCTCACTCAAAGCTCACTGCCTTCACTGATGGGCCAGTGCTGGAATTCCCATTCCAGTGGGGATGAACTGGAGCTGGCAAGAGGAACTGGGACCGGGGGCTGAGCCTGAGGACATCACACACAGATGGGCACAAAATGTGGGGTCCAGACGTGCTGCAGGGAAAATGGGGCTGGGAGAGGCCTGGAGGTGTCTCCAGCTCCACTGGGCTGCTCAGGGCAGTGCCAGATCCCAGACCCTGCAGGTGTGCCAAAAACCACTTCCCAAGGGCCTTCCCATGTCCCTGAGGGCACTGAAACAGGGCCCAGGGGGTCTCTCCCAGTGTGACACTGGAGATGCTCTCCCTGCCACCACCACTGGAGTTTTCCACGTCTCCTTCCTGGGCTTTTGCCCATCCTGAGGCTCCTGAGCTTTCACAGCAGGCAGGACGTTGTGTTTGGGATCTTGCTGTGCTTCTGGGGTGTCCCTGGGCATTGTCAGCAGAATTGTCCCTCACTTTTTTAAGAGGTAAACCATCCCAACCCCTGTCTCCCTGAGTGCCCAGGAGCCAGCACCACTCCACAAGTGCTGGGTGTAGACACAGATCGTGGGCTGCCAGCTCCCTGTGAGGCCATGTCCCCTCCTGTCCCCTCCTGTCCCCCCCAGCTCTGCCCACAGGGACAGGGCTCCACGCGCCTGGCAAGCAGTGCTGGCTCGAGCTGCTGCTGCTCCTTTGCTGGTTTTGTTCTTGACAAGAAAGAGCAGAGGAAATGGGGAATATTGTGCCTGCATTTGAGATTCTCTTTGAGGATTTCACCGTTGTGGTGGGGTGGTTTTTGCCGTGGGTATCTATAGTAACGCTGCATCCAGCACAGTTTTCTGGAGAGCAGCATTCTCTGTTTTCCTGCTCATGTCATTTTTTTTCCCCCAAACCCCATTTTCTGTGCTGCTCCCCAGCCCTGATGATCCTTGTGCTGTGGCACTGAGACATCCCCATGGCTTCCTTGCTTCCTTGTTGCTCGTTTGTGAGCATGAGGGTGGTCAGACCATCCTTGGGTAAGGCACTAAAGCATCCACAGATAAACCACCTCTAGATAAATCATCCATGGATAACCCATCCAGGGAGAAACCATCCAGATGTGAGCAGGCCAGAGGTGTGGTGTGCAATTATTTACCCTCAGGTGGGATCACAGGGCATTATTTATCTTTAATTCCTTTCCCCCTTCCCCTGTGGTCCCTGGGGGCACAAGTGCCACCCACGGGGAGATGGACGCCAGAGGGAGAGGGTGAAAAAGAAAACAATCAGGTACCCAAAAATAAGAAGACACTCAATGTAAGAACATTGTAAGAAGACTGCAAGAACATTTGTTTTGTTTTAAAGGAGAAAAGATGGAAGGGAAGGGAGAAGAAATGCCTTTCCTTCATGGGCAGGGAGTCCAGCCAGTCCCTGCATGGCCCCAGTGGGGATGCAGGATGCTCCCTTTGGGTGGGGATGGCTTTCCCCATTACCAGCACTGCTGGTCCCTCAAGGCACCCTTCTGGCCCTCTGGGATTTCGGGAGCTGCAAGCAGAGGCTCCCTGCAAGCACCAACTTTGCTCCTCTGTCAGAAGCAGCAGAGCAATGACTCATTAGCTGCCAGCTCAGGGAAAGGCATTGGTAGTTTTTTCATGGAAAACAGCCTGGGCTCAGCTCACTGGGATGCACCCCAGGATCCCAGCAAGGCTGGGAGAGCTTCACCTGCCCAAGGTGTGATGTTTCCCATGCTCTGGGTGTGGAAATCACTCCTGGTGGGACAGGAGGTGGCAGACCTGCTCTGTGTCCCAGCCAGGGTCACCCTGGGAGCTGCCACGTTCCCAGCAGTGCCTGAGCTCCTCGGGAAGGAGCTCTGTGGGAAGCAGGCTTCTCCCAACCACACGGTCCAAGGGAGGGATGAGGAAGAGCCTCCATGGCTGGGCAAAATGCAGCTCCAGCAACTCGGAATAATTTTGCTTTAGTCACTGATGACTCTGATGTATTAATGGAAGAGTCATTAGGATGGCTGAGGCTCCAGCTTGCTTTTCCAGCAGTGCCTGGGCGGGCTGTGCTGATTCCATTCCAGCTGCATTCCAGCTGTTTTCCAGCTGCCTGCAGAGGAGGTGCTCTGTCCATGGCCTGGGGAAGGGTGATCTCAGCTGCTCCCTCACTGGGGGGACCTGCAGTGCAGGGGGCAGCCCCTCCCCTGTCCCCAGTGTCCCCAGTCACCCCGTGCTGTTGCAGGATCTCGGTGTGTGACGAGGACAAGTTCCGCCACAACGAGTTCATCGGCGAGACGCGCATCCCGCTGAAGAAACTGAAACCCAACCAGACCAAAAACTTCAACATCTGCCTGGAGAAGCAGCTGCCGGTGAGTGAAGAGGACTCAGAGCCTCATCCCACCTTGGAATCACAGCTACAGCAGCTTCTCCCTGTGGCACGTGGGAACGTGGAGCTGTTTGGCCCCTCAAATATAATCAGGGATGTGGGGAAGAGCATCCCTTGGCTGGGGAGGTGTCTGGCCGTGGCTGTACCCCGGTACAACCCCCAGACTGGGTGCTTTCCCTCCCCAGATAGATAAAACAGAGGACAAGTCGCTGGAGGAGCGTGGCAGGATCCTGATCTCCCTCAAGTACAGCTCGCAGAAGCAGGGGCTGCAGGTGGGCATCATGCGCTGCGCCCACCTGGCTGCCATGGATGCCAACGGCTACTCCGACCCCTACGTCAAAATGTGAGTGTCACCCGCGGCCCTGCTGTCCCCTCCTGCCTCTCCCCGCAGCGGGAATTAATTGCTCTCATTAGGAGATGCAAATGAGGCCGTCAGGCAGCAGCTTGCCTCTGCCTGGAGCGTTATTCCCTGGCAATTGTTTGGCAGAGCTTCCAGGTGAGGTGGGCACAGGAGTTGGTGTTGTGGGGTTGCCCCTGCTGGTTTGGCACTGCCTCACCACAGCTCCTGGTTTTTTTTTGGGGGGGGGGATGGCATTTTTCAAATTCACTGTCTGCAAAGAAGGCGTGGCCATGGTGAGGAAGGGCCCTGTGCCTGTCCTACCTCCTTGTCCCCACGGTGCTGACTGAAATTTGGGCACTTTTAGGGATGGTATTTGCTAAGGCAGAACTACTGGGAGAAACCACACGTGGGAGACCCATGGAGTTCATCAGCAGCACATTTCCACCTTCTTATTTAATTGTTTTTTAGGGGTGGAGGTGTTTGTATAAAAATCCCCTCTTGTTTTTTTAGATGCCCGGGGGCGGCTCAGTCCCTGAGCAACACAATTGCCATTGCACCCAGCCAGTTTTGGGTGTCCCCTGTGCCATCCACAGGAAATTGCATCTTCAGGGCTGGGATCAGAGCAGATAGGAAAGTGATGCTTCTCAGCACAAGCCCTAATTTTTTTAATTATAAGCAAGATCTGGAACGTGTAGCAAGGAAGCAGAACTGATGTTTAAAGGCGCAGCACCAGCACAAAACCACGACGGGCTGACTTTGGCCTGGCCCACATTTCAGGTCCCCTCTCTGCCTGATGACACTTTAATCTTGTTTGCTGTCCAGCTCTGGTGCTGTGCTGCCCGATATCTGCAGGGAACAGCTCAAAGCTGCGTGTCCTGCTCCCTTTCCCACCCTGCATGTGGCTCCTGTGTCCTGGAGAGGCTCTGCATGAGCAGAGCAGTCACAATCCAGGTCTGGCCAGGTCCTGGGCTGGGAGTGCTGGGTTTGGAGAGCATGTGTGCAGTGCCAGTGTCCCCTAGGGACTGGAGATGGGATAATCTGCTCTCTGATTGCAGCCAGCACCTGGCTTGGTCCTAAGGAGGAAAAATGCTGCCTCCTCCCAGCTGGCCCCAGCATTTTGGCAGAGGAGAGAAGGGGAGGAGGATCTGGAGGTTCAGGGGGCTCAGCAACCCACCTCACCCTGGCTCTGCTCAGCTGTCACAGATGTCCCCACCCGCGGCCTCCTGCCCTCCTCACTTGGACCCACTTTGGTCTCGTTGCAGTTACTTGAAACCGGATGAGGACAAGAAATCCAAGCACAAGACAGCGGTGAAGAAGAAAACGCTGAACCCCGAGTTCAATGAGGTGGGTGTGGTTCTCACCGAGGGGCTTTTCTCAGCCTCAGACTTGAAGGATAAAAAATCATCACCTTGGTCACTGTGTGAGGGATTTGGGTTGGGTTCCCTGTGGGCAGCAAAGCCCAAGGAGAAGGATGGGCAGCCCCAACCCCTGTTTCATCCTGGCTCTGCCTCTGCTCCTCCACAGGAGTTTTTCTATGAGATAAAGCACGGTGACCTGGCAAAGAAGACCTTGGAGGTCACTGTGTGGGACTATGACATTGGGAAATCCAATGATTTCATAGGTGAGTAACACACTCCAGAAGGTCTCCTTGGCCTCTTCTTTATTTATCTTTGCTGTCTGTGCCTCTTATTTCTCCTGCACTCCTCCAGCCCCCTGGTTTGTTCTCCACATTCATTTTCACTGGGTTTTGGTTCTGCTTTTATCCCTCTCCTGCACCTGAGCCTCTCACAGAGCATCCAAGCAGGGAGGAAATGCATCTGCCTCTCCCCTTCTGTTTTCAGATGTTTTCCTCTGAGTGCAAAACATGTTTAGCAGGGAGGTTTCATTTATCTCTGTTGGATGTCTGGGCTGCTTGTGATTTTGTCTCTGGTCACTGTGATTTATCACTAACAAGTGCCCGGCACCTCCGACAGCCACTGTGATTGCAGTGAGCCCTTGGCACAGGGGACAGGGGCACTGCCTGGGGCTGGGGCACTGCCTGGGACAGGCCCCAGACCACAGCCACGAGGGGGTGGAGAATTTGGGCTGGATTTCACATCAGGCTGGATGCCGTGAGGATGCTGACTCACCTGGCTCCTTCCAGCATCCCCCTCTGCATCCCTCAGCATCCCTTGCAGAGCTGATGCTCCCACAACACCTCTCCCTCTCTCTGTCTCCCTCCCAAGGCGGAGTCGTGTTAGGAATTAATGCCAAAGGGGAGCGGCTGAAGCACTGGTTCGACTGCCTGAAGAACAAGGACAAGAAAATCGAGCGCTGGCACACGCTGACCAACGAGCTGCCGGGTGCCGTCCTCAGCGACTGAGCCCCGCAGGGCCACAGCTCCACAGCCCTTGGGCTCCTCCCAGCTTTGGATACGGGGGATCCCAGGCCAGCCAGGACAGCAGGACACCCCTCAGCAGGGTCTGGCTGCAGGGAAGCCCTTCCCAGGGAAGAAGGCACAGGTGGTTTTGCTCTGGCGGCCGCTCCCGGCTCCCAAGGCTTTTCCAGAACGCCTCTTTGCGCCCTGCCGCACTCACAGCCCCACTCTCGAGCGTGCACGTGCACACTCCCACTCCCACTCACACAGGTGTGCACCCCTGCATGCACTGCAGTCTGGCTCTTCTCCCAAATCCTGCCTCTACTCAGTTACCTTCTCGCTGCCTTGCAAGTCAGTGGCAAAAAAATGAATGCGTCCGTCCGCGTCCGTGTGTCCGGCATCGGCAAAAGGCGTCCCCAAAAACACACAAAACCCAGAACTGTCTCCTCGAGGCAGCTTGTGCCATATCTCTGGTGGTTTGTCAGTCTCTGTGGTTTGGGCCTAAACTGTCTTTTTTGCATTTTCAAGCTCCTCCGTTGGAATGATTGTGTCCCCGGTACACCCGGACAGAGTGTTTGCTCTCCTTGCAGGAATGTTGTGCTCGTCCTCTCCAGTAACTCCTGTGCAGGCAGCAGAGCTGTGCACGCCACGCTTTTCCTCCTGGGATCAGGCAGCTTCACGTTTGGGAGGCAAAATGTAAAAGCTCCCTGGAACAGCCTGGCTGTTCCTGCTTCCCAGGAAGCAGTTTCTGTCCTAATGAAACCATGCCATGCAGCAGCACGGCTGTTTTTCCAGCAAAGCCAGCTTTCAGGCTGAGTTTTTCTATAATTTTTCCCTTTTTCATCCCTTTCCAATTCATGCATTAAATAATGAAGATGCTGAGCCTCGGAGGTGAGTTGGAATTGTGTTGTAGCTCAGCACGGCCGTGAGGTTGATTTGTTTTCTGCCTCAGTGTCCAAACCAAATAAATTTCTGTGTATGGTACAGTAATATTAACATGGCACAGTAATAATATATTAATATTATAATAATCCCAGCTATCATCCTCTGTGATCCACCTTGGCTGGCCTCTTCATCATCATCCCACCAGACATCCAGTGGGATAAGCTAAAGCTTTCTAGGAAATGCTGCACCATTCCCAAAATGTTTGGAAGCCTTTAAACAATAATTTCTTAGGAAAAGCTGCTCTTTCCCCACGAGTCTCAGTTGCCCTCAGCTTCCAAGCCCTATGCACATATTGCCAACTTCTTTTTTTTTCTCTTGGGAACCAATGGAATCTCTGGAAACCTATGTTTACTTTTCCAAGTGACGATCCTGTTACACCTTGTTACACCTTCTTTGATATTGGGGGTGAGGGGAGATAAAAGAAAAAAAAACCAACATTCATAGGGGTTTTTTTAATAACTCAATGTTTGTAATGCACCCTGCAGATATGCATGGATTTTATTTGAATACTGGCAGCCTGTCAAGTCAGATGTTCCCACTAATCCTTTCTGGTCCAGCACCTTAACACCTGGTTGTGCTCTGAGCTTCCAGGGAAGCTCCAGGAGCACCAGGTTGGCTGTGCCTCCCTTTTCTGGCAAAGTTCCTTTCAATCCATCCTTTTTCCCAGCCTATGAAACTGGTTGATGCCTGAGGTGGAGCAGGACATGTGTGTGTGGGTTCCTTCACTTTGTACCCCAGTCTTTTCTAAGTGGACACTCCGTCCCTCGTCCCAGCTGCATGCAGAGTTGGTGGTTGTCATGCCAGGCCTCGTGAAATGTTTGATACCAATGTTTTGCTACCATGTGAAGGCTGCAGAAACCGTCCTTACCTGCATCCTGAGAGACTTTTGTATTTCAGTATTACCTATCTGTGTACTTTTGGTCAGATTTGTTAATATTTATAACGAGAACCAAAAATAAAAAGGTTAAAAAATAAAAATTAAAAAAAAAAAGAAAGAAGGTTGATGCTGGTGGTGCAGCTTTTGAATTTGGGGGATGGCAAGGATTTGGGAAGAAATGGTTTTAAACCTGAGCACTGGGGGGTTCTTGGCCCCATATAGCATAAATACTATAAATGTACTATATAAATACTATAAAATAATAAAAATGTAGTATATAAATGCTATAAAATACTATAAATGTACTATAAATACTATATATGTACTTATAAGTATTTATAAATATATATATATATGGGGATATATATATATATATATATGGAGAGAGAAAATACATATATATGGCCCAATTAAGTATATATACTACATGCATATTTATATTTATTTATGTTTAATATCTGTTTAGTAGTCTTGAGGCCCAGCAAACCCAGGACACAGGGAATGATGTCCAGCCCCAAGTGCCAAGGCCAGGCTCACAGGAAAATCCAGCTGGAAAACACAAGGAAAAAAAAAATATTTACTCAATTAAATGATGCTCTGTTCAGCCATCAAATTTCTCTTTAAGTCACTCTTTATCCCCTCGGGAACAAAGAGCTGATTATAAAAATCAGGAGGGAGGACAAACCCTTCAGATTAAAATAAAGCTTAAGGTATTTGAAAGCCAAGCTGCTCTGGGCCACGTCAGCCCCTCCAGCTCTATAAAGAGGCTCTGCTTTTGGGGGAGCTCACCTGCCCCAGGTGCTGCTGCTCCATGGACAGCACCCAGGAGCCCCCAAACAGCAGCACCCCGGGGCCTTTCGATGGCCCCCAGTGGCCCCACCAGGCCCCCCGGGCCATGTACCTGGCGGTGGCCGTGCTGATGGGGCTGGTGGTGGCCTTGGCCTCGCTGCTCAATGGCCTGGTCGTCGTGGTGTCCGTCCGGCACAGGAGGCTGCGCTCACCCCTCAATTACATCCTGGTGAACCTGGCCGTGGCCAACCTGCTGGTGACGCTCTGCGGCAGCTCCATCAGCCTCTCCAACAACATCAGCGGCTTCTTCGTGTTTGGGGAGCGCTTCTGCCGGCTGGAGGGCTTCATGGTGTCCCTGACGGGTAAGGAGAGCGTTGCAGGCCCGCCACAGGCTTTGGAGGGTGCTTTTGGGTTTAGCAGAGGGGCTTTGGAGATGTTCCACCTCCCAAAGTCGATACTTTCGTTACGTGGAACTCACGCCCTTCAGCTCTTGGTTAGCACAGGGAAGGGTTGGGGAGATGGTTGGCTGTGCCAGGTCACCACACATCCAGTCCTGGTCTTGAAAGAGTGGAAAATGCCACTTGGGGACATTGTTTGGGATGTATTTCCTGGGTGCTGGCTGCTGTGCCAGCACACCTGGGGCTGGCTGTGCACCAGGGACTGGAAATTGCACAAAACCTCTCCTTGAGGACACTCTGTTGTTGTTACCACAAGGCATCACAGCCACCCATTGCCAACTTCATTTCTAAGGGCCAAATATCCCAGTTGTCCCTGCTGTGAGAGAAGCAGTGCCAAAATCACAGTTTCTAACAGCCAAATATCACAGCTGTTCCTGATGTAAGACAAAAACATCCGACTTCTTGTTCAAATAATATTTACTTGAACTAAATCATCATCTACCACGTCCCAGCACAGGCAGCAGAACCCGTCCCTGAGACACAACCCCTGCTGTCCCCCCAGGCATCGTGGGGCTGTGGTCCCTGGCCATCCTGGCCTTGGAGAGGTACCTGGTGGTCTGCAGACCCCTGGGAGACTTTCGGTTCCAGCACCGGCACGCTGCCAGTGGCTGTGCCTTCACCTGGGGCTGGTCCCTGCTCTGGACAACCCCACCACTCCTGGGCTGGAGCAGCTACGTGCCTGAAGGTAGGGGAGACGTGCATCAGACTCCACTGTGTTGTCATTCTTGCATCTTGTTTTCAAGCCTGGGGTAGCTGGAGAGGGTCTGGGCTGGAGTCTAAAGGGTTAATCTCTCCTGTTAATATTTCCTGCTTGCTTAGCCAATAATCATCTCCTGGAGGGTGTTCTTTGGAAGTTCCCCACCACAGGACATTCTTACTGGAGCCAGGAGCTGCTCTGGCTGCTGGAGCAGCACCCAGCACGCAGCCAGCCCAAACCTGCTCTTGTACAACTGGCACAACTCCACAACAATCACAGAGGGCATCTGGCCACCCCAAAACCCCAGTGGCTGATCTCCAGGCCCTTGGGGATGGACACATGTGGTGCCATGGCTGTTTTGGAGCCCATCCTTGAGCCCTTATCCAAGCCCTAACTGCTTTAGGCTCATTCCCAACCTTTATTCCAGGCCTGAGAACCTCCTGCGGGCCCAACTGGTACACGGGTGGCAGCAACAACAGCAGCTACATCCTGGCCTTGTTTGTCACCTGCTTTGTGGTGCCCCTCAGCCTGATCCTCTTCTCCTACACCAACCTGCTGCTGACCCTGCGGGCGGTAAGTGCGCCCAGCTCAGGTGAGCCTGCGCCGCTCCGCTCCCAAAGCGTCTCCATGGGGATGAAGAGGCTCAGGGCAGGTGTTGGGGACAGCCAGAGGAGCTGGCTCCTCCTGGCACTGCCATCATGGCTCCCAATTGTGAGAAATGGCTGCTCGCTTTTTATAGTTTAGGAAGGTTTATTCAGCCTTATCAAAAATGCGACAGAAGACTGAGTAAAGAAAAAAGGTTACGCAAAAGATTTTCCGCACCATGTGCTCAGCTCCCTCACAATGGAGGTTTTTCCTTTTTAACCCTTTAACCCCTCCCAAATTCTGTCCATCAACCCCTCCTTCACTGTCCAGTGGTGGAAATCTCTCCCCCAAATCTTCATTGGAGGTCAGATGTCACCATATGACAGGCCAGCCCTCCCAGATGTCCCAACCCCAGCTGTCCCTTGACAACCACGCCAGGGGGTACAGCATAACCATAAACATATACAACTTCTCTTAACCTACAGACATGATATTTGCCTGTTAATTGTGAGAGTCAATCCTCCCATGACTCATCTGTCACAGGAGGGATGGGGTGCTGTTCCAAGCTGCTCCCTTGGCATCTCCCTCTCTCCCAAACCCCGCAGGCTGCGGCGCAGCAGCAGGAGTCGGACACAACGCAGCAGGCGGAGCGGGAGGTGACACGCATGGTGGTGGCCATGGTGGTGGCCTTCCTCACCTGCTGGCTGCCCTACACCACCTTTGCACTTGTGGTGGCCACCAACAAGGACATTGTCATCCAGCCAGCCCTGGCATCCCTGCCCTCCTACTTCTCCAAGACAGCCACGGTTTACAACCCCATCATCTACGTCTTCATGAACAAACAGGTGAGAGAAAGCTCCAAACAAACAAACCAAGCTGGAGAACAGCTGGACAGGCTCAAAAATCCTGGAGGAACCATCTATCCTATCTGGAAGTGTGGTCACAGGGTTGCTGTGTAAGCAGCAAGGATTTGGGGAATAAGATGGAAAGGGAGGGAGCAGCCTGCGAGCCCGAACAAGAGCTCATTTTCTGCTTCCATGGTTTTATGGGGTCAGGCAACTTAATGTTGGATCACAAGCTGCTCGTTGAAGGCACAAAGCAAACAGAATGAAACTTTTATTGTCCATAAACCACAAAGAGTTGGGCTGGGAATAGACAGAGATCTTTCCCAAAATATAACCAGCGTCCAAGCTGCCCAGTCTCCAGGTGACGCCAGATTTCTGCTGCCACAAATAACCTGCCCCTTCCTTCCCTGCCCAGTTCCAGAGCTGCCTGCTGGGAATGCTGTGCTGTGGTTACCACCCCAGGGGGATGGGGAAAACCTCTCCAGCTGCCCCCAGTCCCCAGGTCGCTGCAGAGGGGCTGAGGAACAAGGTGACACCATCCCATCCTGTGTGACAGCTGCCATGTCCTGCCCACACCAGTGCCAGCTCCAGGATCTGCCTGTGCCACCCACAGCAGCACAGAGGGGCTCGGGGTGGAGCTGATGGGGGGCTCTCAGAGGCTGGAGAGGTCCCCAACAAAAAAAAAAACAAAAAAAAACCAAAAAAAAACCCAAAAAAAAAAGACATGACAGTGTCTTCTTGCAGGTGAGGAACCATCCCACCATGGGAGAAACTGCAGATTTTCACTATGCCCCTCTCCTAAGGAACCCACTCCCTCCCAGCCCCCTCCCCTTGGAGCCTTTCAAGAACACCAAATAAAAAATGAACAGTAATTTTGCCTCGGTGCACAACATCCCAGGTGGCTGTTTGGCCCAGAGTCAGGTGGAACATGGTCTGTCACCATCCCCTGACAGACCAAGCCCTGCCTGCAGTGCCTGGTCCTGCTGGGAAGTTCAGGGAGATGCTGTAAATCTGGCAAAAATCCAGCAGGAATGTTTAAGAGCCAACTGTGTTAATAAACACTGATAAATACTGAGCAGTTCATCTGTTTTATTGGCTGATAGAGGGTTTGACAGAAAACACATCCCCTCCTGCCACCAGAGCTGGCACATCCCTCGTGGCAAGTGCCACAAACATCGCTACAGACAGCCAGGAAATAAAACAGACACAAAGTTAATTTTCTTTTTTTAGAGTTAAGGCAATAAGGAAAGGTCTGAATGCACTGATTTCCCAGCAAGGGTGAAAACACAAGTGGTAACAGGCCCCAAGGCATAACAGAGGCCCACCAGCAGCAAACAAAAGATGCCAAAGCCTGAAAGGATAAAATAAAAGATAAAAAACCTCCACAGGCTCCGCAGCTTCACACCTCATCTTAAATCTCCAATCCCAGTGTTTATCTACCACAGCTGCAATCACACTTCTGTTTTTGGAGGCAGATTCTGTCATTCAGGAGCCCAGGAAAGGCTTCTGAAGGTGATATTGAAGACAGCAAGTCGATGAAAGTGGGTTTCACCCAATTCCTCTATCTCTAAAAAAGCCTGCCTGCCTTCACAGTTGTCCTATAGATTTGTGATCCTGAACCCTTGAATTGCTTTCAAAATGAGGCGATCCACAGCCAGGCACCCCAGCAATTTGCACTGCCATGGAGGATGATGAGATTTGGGAGACTGAGGGTTTGGGGTTTTTCTTCCCCCACCATGTGAGATTCTCTGCTTCAAACCAAAAATAAAACAAAAATCCCCAAACTGGCCCAGTGCAAAGGAATGAAAAATGTTAGAGCAACCTGGGCTAGTGGAAGGCAGCAGAGGGGTGGAATTAAATCATATTTATGGTATTTTCCAACCCAAACCATCCCATGACTCCATGACCTGGTGTGGGGGGACAGGACACCCATCCCCACCCCTGTCTCAGCCTCCCTCTCTCCTGCTGTGCAGAGCAGCTCAGCTCACAGGGCTCAGAGAGGACTTAGAACAGCTCAGTATCACTGTTTTAATTTAATTAATTGGGCTTTCATTCTCTGGGAAGCTGAAAAGCAGCATTAGACGGGCCCTCTGATCTCCTCTGCTGTCTTGCACTGGTCCTTGTTTAATTGTTCCTGTTAATCACAGCTTTTGTGCCCATGCTTTATGTTATCAGGATGATTTAAGTCCATGCTAAACTTAACTCTGGGGAAGCACAAGCAGCAGAAAAACTGAAATCTGTTGCGTTCTGGCCCCGATAAGGAGATCAGACAGGCCACGGGGCTACTTGAAAGGCTCTCCACCAACAGAAATAAAAATTCTCCACATTAAGATTAAAAAAAGATAGGGAAACGGTTCACAGTCTGCTCACCATTTGGTCCCACAGATAAAATAGAACAAGAAATGCAGGAAGCTGAGATTTCACATGTTGTTATCCATCCAGTGATGGATAATTCTGTGCGTGCGAAAACACTCGTGTGCTCCTCTCCACCACACTGCTGCAGCCACTTGGCTTTGGCTACTTTTTATTTAATTAAACAAGCCCGAAACCCAATAAAAACACTGCCCAAAGTGAGAGGGAATGAGCCTCAGTTATGACTCACAAGGCACCAAGGACAGGATCACAAAATCAACATTTGCAATTTAACTTTTGCGCTCTCTATCCCTGCCGGTGACACAGCCCGGGGCCATGGGGAGCTGGATCTTGTTCCAGCAGCTCCTACCAGGAATAAAAATCCTTCTGCCTGCAGCACAGGAGTCCCACGCAGAGAATCCAGGTTGGTACAAGCCTGGGTTGGAGAATATGAAACCTTTTTTTGGGCAGAATTGTGTCACGGCCCGGGGCGAGGCCTGTGCTAGGCCTGAGGCGCCGCTGCTCTGCCTCTGTCACTGCCACCACAGCACAAACACACGAAAGATCTTTATTTTCTCTTATCTTTCCTCAGAAAGCTCCCCCACCTCTCCAGCATCATCCCTGGAGCAGCTCCAGCAGTTCCCATCCTCATGATGGGAAGCAGAACTAAAAACGAGTGAAAAACCCCAACAAAACAACCCTAAAAATGAACCTCCCAGCCAGAAAAAACAACATGGCAGCACGATAACCTTGGAAACTTTTATTAATGTTGTTAAACCAAATTAACAGGTACAAAATTGGAGCATTTCCTTGCAAAAGCAGGAAGGAAGATGCAAAACTTGACGCCCCCAGATGTTCAAAAGCAGCTCAAATCCCAGGGAACAGGACAACCTTCACTCCTGCACCTTGAACAGCATTTATCACAAAAAAATGTTAAATATGAGACTGCTGTGCCCATCAAAATTCTCATCCAAAACTCAATTATATCCAGAGATATTGGTGGGTTTTTTTTGTTTTTTTTTGGAGAGGCCTACCAAAAATGTGGTTGAATTAACACCAGGTATCTTCATAACAACCACATTTTTTTCACATTTTTGTCTGATGCTGGCAGGGAACATATTGCTGCACTTGCAATCTCTGGAGAACACTGCCTTTTCCTCATTAGCTTTTTCCACAGCAATTAATCCCTTTAATCAGTCAAATCAGTTCAACACTAGATCACAAAAGCACTAAGTAAAGAGAAAACAAGAAATTACCTTGTTAAATTTAATGAGCAAGGAAAAACAGACACTACATGGGCTGCAACACTCCAGCATGGGAACATTTCAGTGCCTGAGCAGCACCAGCAGCCCACAGAATTACAATCATTTTGTCTTTAATCTGAAAACTGCATAATGCAACAGAGCAAGGAATTCTTTAGCTTATGAAAATGTGCACGTGCAGAATAAAAAGCAGTTTCATGAGGATGTGACAGTAAAAAAAAAAAACAGCTCAATTCTGCACATTGACACTGCCTGGGCATGCAACAATGGCATCAAACCAGTACAAACCATTTCAGAACACAGAGCATGGGATTTTCTTCTTGCTGCTGCTGTTAAAGGAAATCTGAGCTTTACAGGTGTTTATGTGGCCAGAAAGGGCTGTAATTCACAGACTAAACACTGGGCAAGCAGCAGCAAGCAGGTGATGTGTAGAACTTATTCACTCTGTGTGTTAATCATGGAGAGAGCTCTCATCCAAAACAATTATCCTGCAGGGGTCAAAAAAAAAAGGAGGAAATAAAGGTTAGGAAGTTGCTTTTTTCTTATATTAAGTACAAAATGAAGGGAATGGAATTTCATAGTGCCTGTTTTTCATGGAAAATAGGAATGCAGCTCATGCCATAAATAAATTTCTACCACAATTCCAGTTTAACTCATTGAGTCTCACCTGAAGGGTGGAGTTGGAGCCAGCTGCTGCTGGGGGTGGGATTTCTGATCCTTGCTCTCATCTACAAAACAGGGAAATTCAGCTCAGAACATGAAAGCCACACAGGGACAGCAAGTGAATCAAGAGCTGCAGGTTCCTCTGTCAGCCACATTTGGAATCAGAACCCAGCCCCAGCCCTGCTGCATCACCCAAGCCTGGTGGGGATCAGAAAATCAGAAACCAATCCTGATTTCTATCCCTGAAGCCCAGTCCCAGCTCAGTTGTGGAGCTCTGACAGAGAACAGGGGCACAGCTGCTATTGCTGTAACAATTTGTTATTGTAATGCAATAACAAGCACAGTGATGTCACCCCCGGGCTTCCACATTTTAAAATTACCATCAATATTTCCAAAAGTAACCAGGGATTTGGGACATTTCAAACTTTGGGTGCATCCAGCAGCTCTACAGACAAAGGGCACCTGCTGAAGTCCCTGCACAGCTTCCTGGTGCTCTGCCTCCAGCCCAGGCTCCTCTCTCCTCTCCTCCATTCTTCCTTCCAGCATCTTCTGGATCCTGCAGGCTGGCAGCCCTTGAATGACACAGTTTTGTGTATCATCCTCTTTTTTTTTTTTTTTTAAAGGATGAAACAGAAAATTCTGATGCCAAACATGAGAATGTCCCAAGTTCCTTTGTGAGACAGAAGTTAGGGATGAGTTATGAGCACTCACTGAGGAGCTGTGCAGAGTTACTGGGTTCTGATCTTTAGTTCCAAGAGGGAAAACAGTTATTTGGGATATGAATATTTTCCTTAAAATTATGTTTAAATGACTTCTGCCATGTTCTTCAAATTTCCTAATATACTGCCATGAAAGCACAACCATTTTCACAAACTCTTCTTTATAAAGAGCTTTCATGACTCTGTTCTCTTAATGCACATTTTCTCTGTCTCAATAAATCCCCCCATTCTGTCAAATTATCTCTGATTTCTGTGAAGACCAAGCACTGCCTTTCAGGGCTGTTGAAGTATTTGCTTTCCACCTACAGGAAGTTGTATTAACAAAACATTCTTTTCCCTCTCAATTTAGTAGGAGAGTTCACATTCACGTCTCCAGGCAAATTCCCTGGCACTCCACTCCCTAAGGAGTCACAGCCCATTTTCTCAAAAGTCCTCCACAGATCTGTACACAGCACACAAAATAAACCCTTCAACACAAATAGAAATTATCAGCTCACCCAAGAGTGTGTCCCTGAGGTTGTTCTTGGATCTCCTCATCCCCAGGAACTGCATGGAGCATTCTCTCCAAAGCATCATCCAGGCTGGAGTGAGCCCTGTTAAATAAAAGATTTCAAAGCGAGGGTGACAGGGTTCATGCTGCAAATTTCCAATTAAAACAGTCATAAGGGGATTTAAAGTTTTCTGTAAGCATTGAATCTTGTTAAAATTCTAAGTCTTTGTAGCTCAAAGCCAGACATGCCTCCCCATTCTTTTTCATACCTTTCTGTATCCTCTGCTAGATTAAATGACTCCTTAGTCCATAAACTCTGATTTGTCTTCTCATTTCTCTCAGATTCTTCTCCTGACTCTCTGTTTTCCATTTGAACTTGAACAAGAGCTATTCACATAAACAGCAAGATTTTAGTATCAAAGGAAGATAAATAAAGACATGAAAATGTTGTTTTCTTTGCTGCATTTGGGCAATTTCCAGTTGCCCACTTCTCAGTCACTCTTTCCTCTGATTTTCTACCAGATGAACAAATTCCCATTATCTGCAGTCAAAGGTGGCCAGCAGCAAGGCCCAGATAAATATTTTACTCCAACACATTTCCAAATTCACAGGACTCCACATTTTGTTTCCCACTGAAGTGAAAAATGCATGTGGAAATGAATCTTTAATCTTTCCAATCCCAGATATGGGAGAGAAATCCAAGGGAAACCTGAGGATGACAGCTTGGTTTGCCTATTTATCAAAATCCAGTAATTTCCCCTCAAAGATTTATCAGCAAATTCTGTTCCCCATAGAAATCAGGGTTTGGGTTTGGGCTTAGGGCTGAGGAAGTGAAACCCTACAGCTCCAGGAACACTGGGGCAGGGAAGGGCAAAAAAAGGTCTGGAAATTCATGGTGATGGGGGTTAAACTTAGGTTTGGGCTAATGGGGAATATTTCAGCCCCTTCTGCTGGGCTGTGATAAGCAGGAAGCACGAGGCTGCCACAAAAAATGGGAGTCAGAAATAGCTGTGCTTTATGCAAATACAAGAAAAAACCACAGTGATTGAGCAGCCAGCAATAGCCTGCTGCAGTCCTCTCCCCCTAAAAACAAGAAGCTCCAACGAACTTCCATCCCTCAGGAAAAGATTTGACAAAGCTGTAGGACAACCAAACATGTGCCAGCATCATTCCCAAGTGTTATTTAGCTTTTTACAGACTTAACTCATGTTCTGCCTTTTTTTTTTTTTTTTTTTTTTTTTTTGCCTTTTTTGTCTGTTTTTTTTTTTTTTGCTGCTGCTCACTTTGTGACTCACTGGAGGAAAAAAAAAGCACAGCCTATAAACATTTAGGTTTTCTGCTCCTCTGACACGACTTGTTGTACATCTAAAAATGATTCCCACTTAGCACCATTTGCATTTGCAGCAGCACAAAGATTCACCACTCTGCTGTCTTTGTAACAGAGCAGGAAATACAATATTCATTACCCCAGTGGAAGCTATTTTCTTCCTCTGTGAAACCAGAGGCATTATTTCATGCTGGAGAATTAGGCACATTAACAGGTAGGGTGCACTGGCCACTTTCTGAACTGAATCACCCTCCCAGAATGGATTTGACACCACCTGCCCAGCACCTCTGCTCCTGTGGGTGTTGTCACCTGTGTTTGAGCACAGCACAAGCCACAGTGGCACAATAAAAGCAGAAAATGAATTCTCCTGGTTAGACCTGCAAACCTCCCACAGCAGCTCCCCGTGGACTCTGGAGGGAACACACAGGAAAGGCAGCAAACACTGGTGGGGGCACCAAGCTAAAAATTGCAGTTTATTGTTCCAGCTGAACACCCAGTGACGAGGACTCAGAGGCAGCTTGCAGCAAGGCAAAAGGAATTTTCTATTTTTAATCTCTACACTGGGACTGTTAGCAACCAACCATTCACTTGCACTCTGGAGTCTTGCAATCCCATCCCTTCCAAGTCTGGAGTGATGGAATCTTGCTGCTTTAAGTGTTCTGTTAAAAAAAGCATTATTTCCATATTGATCTAGGCTGACTACACACCAAAATACCACATAACTTTATCCATCCAACCCTAGAGGAAAACCTGTACATGATTTATAATTCTTTTATATATTATTTTTATAACTATTTTACATATATTTTATAATTATTAATATAATGTAATATAATGTAATGTAATGTAATATGATGTAATATAATATAATGTCATATAATGTAATATAATATAAATTTTATTTATTTTAATTACATATTTTATAATTATTTTAACCTACAGGCTGCCCCTGACCATCATTAATGGCATCACTGACAAAGCCAATCTCCACAGGTTCTTGCTCTGATGAATGAGGAAATAAGGTCAGGATGGACATTTTGTCTGGTGTTAATTCAGGAAGAGCTTAATGATGGATAAGCAAAGCAAACTCTTCTCCAACACCCTCCCAGTGAAAACCACACAGAGTTTTTACATTTTCTGACTGTGGTGATGTGTGGGAACACAAAAAGAAATGTAAATCACTGAGCTCTGCACAGACACCTGGGGGGTGCAGCTGCCTCCTCTAACAGGGAACACAAATTGCTCCAGGACACCTTTGAAAAATTCAGTGTACACCCAATTCCTCTCTGTGTTAAACTCCACCTGCACTCAGTGTGCTCTCAGCAGCAAGGAAACCACTCAGAGAAACGCAGAGGCTTCAAGAACTGCCAGTTATTTAAGCTGCTGATCATTTAAGCTCTTGATCTTCCTAATAATTGACTGCAACTAATTTGGAAGCTCCAGTGTATTTTGGCAGTGAATGGCTTGGGAGAAATCCTGGCTGAGCACAGCTGGAAAGCCTCCCACAGTTTGGGGTGAAGTGCCTCTTACCAATTTCATCCAGCAGCTCTTGGGCTGGTGGAGGCAGCTCATCAATGGAGGGAGGAGATGCCTCTGAGAGTGCTGAGACAGAGGAAAAAAAATATTCTAGTTAATTAGCAGTGATTAATCCTTAATAAGTGTGACATAGGCTTACACTCTGATAGCATCTTGCTTACATATTTCATTTAACACCCTGCACGAGCCTGGCTCATTCATATTTTATCAAATTTCCCTAAATAATTCCATAATGGAAAAATCATTTCGAGCCAGACTTGCACATTCAGCTCTCAGTGCTGTATCAGAAATCTGAGGCCAGTAATATTTACACTTCAAACAGAGGTTGATTTACAGGTCAGAGTTCTTAGTGTGCAAGTGCAAACACAAAATCCATAACCTAATTAGCACCAGCAGTACATGGTGGAGTGCTTAGCTACTTATCCCTCTAAAAAGAGACATCCAGGAGCAAAAAAAAAAAAAGGGGGGGGGGGGGGAAATTAAAAATAACTAATAGACTGCTGAATTTCCTTTCAAATCCATTTCTCTGTTTATTGTACAATTTATTTTGGCTGGGGCTGGGATAAAAGGCTTACCAGGTGCCTGCCTGGTGTTCCTCAGGGATGAAGCAACTGGTGGCAACCCAACCTGTGTGAGATCAAACAGAATTAAATACAAGAAGGTAAACTGAAAAACTGCTGATCTTCAATTCTCCCCTTCAACATGCGAAATCCAAAATTTAGGTAGAATTCAATTAAATTCTACCTAAATTCAATTCAATTAAGTTCTACCTAAATTTAGGTAGGCTTCAATTAAAGCCTGAGCTGACCATTAAATTTTAAACTAAGCTTTTCAATCAGACCAGAATATGAAAATAGAGTAAAAATGATGTGTCAAAACTTTTGCTTAGGCTGCTGTGCAGTCAGATTTTAGCTGTGAGATACCATCAGCTACATAATCTTTATTTCAACACTGAATTTTCTGACTGGACAGTTCCAAGATTTCTTCAGTTCCCATTCTCTGCTCGGGATTTCTCATTATTAAAGCCAGGCACATCTGTTCATCAGAAGAGCCCCCCAAAATTAAGAATTTGTAAGCAGAGGCAAATCCCCACTACCCTCAAAGTGGCAATATGCACTTAATTCTAGAATAAGATTTTGGACACGAAGCGACAGCATCAGCAGAGCCACTCAGGGCTGTAAATGAATTTAATGAATTCCAAGTGTTCTGGCACTGGAGCAGCACGACACAGCCCTGCCTGTGTCAGGTCAGCTACACAATGAGCACTCGCTGCTGCCGTGCCTGAGCAAACCCTGATTCCAGCTCTCAACCACAGCCCCAGCAGTGGAAATAATGAGAAAGGTGAAAAGGCAACTGTTTTATACAAAACTGTCTGCAAAGGCAATTTGAGATAATGCTGTGGCTCGGGAGCACCTTCAGTGCCAAAAGGATCAGTGGAAATCGCTGCAGCGACCTTGGAAGCTCTGGACTCCGGAGGGAGGGGTTTGAACAAAGCTGACGAGATTGGGCACAGTTAATGTGCAGAAAAAGGAGAAAAGAGCCTTGAACAAAGGGTTCATTCAAACCTCCTTTTGCCAAGTTCATTCTGGATTCCAGGCAAAATCTAGTCCAGGTTTTCCCTTTTGCCAAGTCCATCAGGACTCCAAGCAAAATCTAGTCCAGGTTTTCCCTTTGGCCAAGTCAAGTCCAGACTCTGTCTGGAATCCAGTCCAGGTTTTCCCTTTTGCCGAGTCCATCAGTACTCCAGGCAAAATCCAGTCCAGGTTTTTGCTTTGGCCAAGTCCATTCCAGACTCTGGGTGAAATCTAGTCCAGCTTTTCCCTTTTGCCGAGTCCATTCCAGACTCTGGCCATAATCCAGTCTGGGTTTTTTCTTTTGCTGAGTCCATTCCAGACTCTGGGTAAAATCCCATCCATGTTTTCCCTTTTGCCAAGTCCATTCTGGACTCAGGCTGGAATCCACTCCCTGTTTTTGCTTTTGCCAAGTCCATTCCAGACTCCAGTGGTAATCCAGGCCAGGTTTTCCCTTTTGCCAAGTCCATTCCAGACTCAGGCTAGAATCCACTCCATATTTTTGCTTTTGCCAAGACCATTCCAGACTCCATCCCAAATCCAGCCTGGGTTTTCACTTTTGCCCAGTCCATTCCGGAATCCAGCCCGGGATTTTCCTTTTCATTTTTCCTTTTGTCCATTCCAAATTCCTGCCCCAATCCAAGATTCCAAAGGCTGGGAAGTGAAATTTCCTACAGCCAGGAAGAGATGGAGGGCAGGGAATGGCCACTTGGAGAGAAGCCAACATTTCCCAGCAAGAGGAACCCAAATTTCTGTGTAACCAGTGCCTGAAATCAATCAGGACTTTTGCCACTTCATCCACAGAGCCACAACTCCGAAACACTCACAAAGACCTAAAAGCATTTCTCTACTTGCATTTCTTTTTAATAAAAGTATTGTCAAAAAAAATATTTTTAAGGAACATTAAAAGAATATTTAAAGAAACTCCTGGCAGAAGTTGTTTTCTGACTTACAGGCTCTTTCAGTCCAAATGGGCAAAGTCTTGGAGCCACCACTGGAATTTCCATGCTCCTCTCCCCTTCACAGGCTGTGGTATAAGTCTTGAACACGGTGGAGGAGGTCTCTTGAGAGCCACAAAAGGAAGAATCTGAAGAAAACTCACGGCACTGTTTGTATTTCTCAAAGGCTAATGGAAATTTTTCGTCTAGAATTAAAAAAAAAACAGGGGAAAAAAAAAAAGTAAAGACAGCGAAGCTGGAGAATTATTTTTGGAATTTTTGTATCTTTAGCACACTTCAACAGAAGTAGAAAAAATTTAAAGGGAACAGGCACCTGCACAAGAAACTCTACCCATAAAAGACCAAACTGATAATCCAGGAGTTCCACCTCAGACAAAACTTTGCCAAGAAATTCCAGCCACTGTCTTATACCAAATTAATGAAGCACAAAGCAAATGTTAATTCATTACTCTTTAGCACTCCAGCTCAACAAACATTTATCATGTTATTTAACTCGTTATAAACATACTGAATGCTTATTAAATTGCCTTTAAAATGCTGAAATCCACATGCATCAATTCAAATTTAAATTACTTCATTTCTGATTTATGAAGGCTGCCAATATCTTCCAGAGACCTTTCAGGCAGTGACTTTTTCAGCTGTGTCCCTGTAAATTCTCCTTTAATTCTGTGTCTTTGGACAGTGAGATTTCCAACAACAGGAACAACAGCATTCCTTGTGCAAGCCTGACATTTCTGCACAGAGAAATGGAGCTTCACGATTCACCTTGATGATTTTTACATCAAAAAATCCTGGCAGAAAGGCCTGGCTGGCACAGAGAGGAGAAATAATTCCCTGTAAATCCTCTTTTTCCCCCTCCCTGCATTACCTGAGCCCAGGGGGGTGCTGACACTGGTGGGAGCGTGGCTCAGCCGAGGTGTTTTACATTCCACACCCCTCTGGAAGTTCTGCTCACAGGGGATGCTGGACAAATCCTGAATATCTGCCACTGATCTGAATTATTGAGAGATGTTCTGACAGTTAGAATAGCCACTTCCTGCAGCTGTGAATCACCAGATCCTGCTATTTTCAGGGTCTTGAAATTTTAATTTTGTGCAGTCTTATCTAGATCATTGGAATAGAGGGAGATGTTCCCTTTGAAAATTCCCACAGGAATCTTGGGAGGCCCAAAATCACCATCCTCAGGGAAGTTGCAGAGGCAGAAAAGGTTAATTATTTGCTTCCTCTTCCCTTCCAGGATGTCTTAAATGATCCTCCTATAAAACCAGCTCAGGAAGCTGCTTCCAGAAAGGGCAGGAACTCCAAACGTGAACCAAAAGGTAGAAAAAAATAAAAAAATCATCAAAGGCAAGGGAAAACCTCAAGGGTTAAGAAAAATTAATGAGCCATTAATTAAGACTAAATGTAGGCCTTGGGAGCATTTAAAAGAATGACTCTGATAAACTGAGACTGCTGAAGGCACTGACAGACCCCCAAGTGAAAAAAAAATGAAATCCAAATTGATCAAATTTGGGGGAAATACACCCTGGATTCCATCATCCTCAAAGGCCATGGAAAGAAAAGACACCTCCTGTAAATCAGTAATTTTATGCAAATCTCCATTAGCTGTAAATATAAATTAACCTCATTAGCTGAATCACAAACACACTCTGCTGATTTTTTTTTTTCCCTCTGAAAATCACAGGACTATTTCTGGAATAAAATTTATTTGGCTCCACACGAACGATTTGCTCTTTAAAGTGATTTTATTTCCCTGTGCCATATGGAGAGAAGAAACCAGGAATCCTCACACTTTTCATGGGAAGAAGCACACCCAGATGAACACCAAATTAATTACTTCTGAATATGAAAATATTCCCAACTAAGGACAACTCTTTTACACCAATCTCACAACTTTTCACAGGAAAATACTCTCTCAGTACTCTGGGGAGTTTTCTCTTAGGCTGTCCCCTCTCCCTGTCTTGCACCAACACAAAATTTTGTAGTTAATGACCAATTTTGCTATAAAATGTGGCTCTTACACATCTTTTTCTTGGCATTCTTCCTGTGGCTCCCACAGCGTCGCTTCTCGTGCTGCATCCACACTGAAACGAGGGAGGAAAGGTCACATTCACCCTCAGAAAATGATGGAAATAGAAAAATTTGGTTTCCTTTCTCTCAGGAAGTTTAAGCACTGAGGTAGCCTGCAGCTCACAAACACTTTGTTTAAAACCTCAGAAGGTAGAGACTGGTTGCTGCATCCACACTGAAACGAGGGAGGAAAGGTCACATTCACCCTCAGAAAATGATGGAAATAGAGAAATTTGGTTTCCTTTCTCTCAGGAAGTTTAAGCACTGAGGTAGCCTGCAGCTCATAAACACTTTTTGTTTAAAACCTCAGAAGGTGGAGACTGGGAGGAGAAAAAATGGCATTTTTAACAGATTAAGGATTTGTTAGAACTTCTCACTGACATTTGCAGCTTCAGGAAAAAAAAGTGAAATTAATAAAATTAAGTGAAATTATGTGAATTTAATAAAATTAGGTGAAATTAATAAAATTAAATAAAAGAAATAAAAGCCCAGGAACGCACACCGCTCCATTGTGCCATCATCCCTTGATCTGTCTCAGATTGTGACAAGGTCAAAGAGGATTAGGCAGATGCTCAGAGAGCAACATCCCCTCGGTCCTGCTGCCACAAGTTCCTAAGTGAAGGGAGCAACCAAAAACCTTCTTTTTTTTTATCCTAAAGCCAAGTGATTTCCACTGCTGGTGCCTCCCTCTGGCCCAGGGAACTCAGCTCCTCAGGGGAGGAGCCCTGGCAGTCACAGCCAATTTCTCCCCATGCTGGTAAAATACAAAATTTACAGGATAAAAAACCCCTCCTGTTTTCCAGAGGAGCCAGCCAAGCCTCCAAGATTGATTCAGAGACTGCCAAATCTGATGTTGCCCCCAGGCAGGATCCTGTGAACTTTCCTGGGCTGATCCCAGGGGGTTGGGAAAGGCAGGATCTTCATGGCACTTCAGCTCCACAACCAAAATTAAAGCAGATGACTGAAGCTTTAATTTGAATTATCTTTGCTCTGTTTCAGGCTCTGGTTTATCAGTGGAAAAGGAATTGTGATATGTACATGGATTTTTCTTCCCCCCCTATTTTAGCTCCCTCATTAAGGCATAAAAAACCCCACCAAACTCTGCAAAAGACAAAACCCCTTGAGACCTGTGAAAATCCCTTTTTGTATTTCCTTAGCAAGGAGCTGAGCTACGTAGATAATCATTAAAAACCACCACTGGCATCTTATTTGAATATTAGATATATAAGCAGAATTAATGAAGAGAGCACACTTTAAAAGCTAATTTATGCCTGAAGGAACAATGAAAATGAGTTTTTCTACCTGGCTCCAGGCATTTGGCTCAGCTGATTCACTCCCAGCTTGTTACTGCCACAGCTCTGTGGTGTTGTGCTGCAGAACAGTATTTTTCCTCCTGAATACAAATAACAAATGTTCCCTGTTACTGGCTTTTGCAAGCACGAAAGAAAACAACCCAACTCATTGAACAGGAAATTGTGACTTTATTAATTTTTTTTTTTTCTTTTCTGTCTGAGTTCTTGTGACCTTTGTTGTTATCGAGAGACAAATGTGTTTTAAAGATGCATTTTCATAAACATGGCACAGCTGCCAGGCAGGCACTGAAGCACTGGGGAATATCACAACATTTACAAAATTGAGCTAAAAGAGACAACAGAAGAAGGAAACAAGGATTCTTCCATTATTCTGCACACACACTCTGTCAGCTCTCACTGGGTTTAAGCCCAAGATCCTCCCAGCAATGAGAATATTAATGTGTAAATACAACTCTAATTCAGTTTCCAGCACCACAGCAAGTTACATAAAAAGATTAAACTTCGCCCCAGGGTAAAAATAAAAAGGTTTCAAATAAGTTTTTGTTTTGGCTTTTTAACTGAAACACAGCAAGTACATAAACACTGCATCTGAAATCATTTCAGGCACTGCAGTGCCCAAACCAAAATCCTAAATGTCCTGAACTCTCCCAAAAGCAATAATTTTGGAATGAGAGGAATAAGAGATCAATTGAGGCTGAAGAATGGAGGTCCAGCCTTGTGACAGGAGAGCTGCTGGCAAAAACATCAATGCCACAACTCCGTGTCCCTCCTCAGAAGTGCTTCAAGAAAAAAAACACATTTACCTGGAGCCTGGCTTGCTGATGCTGCATCTGCAGGTAATTTCTGTAAAAATCCTGCACAAACATCTTCTGCTTTGCCCTCAGCGTTTGAGGTCTGAAAAGGGGAAAAAGAGAATTTAATTCCATTTTTGACAGAGCAGCTGCAAAGGGCAGGACAACTCTCCCAGGATGATGTTCCCAATAATGGGAGTGGAGAGAGAAACTTTTCAGGAGCTCGTCAGCAAACAGCCCAGACTGGATTTAGCAGGAACATAGAAAAGTTTTGCATCTTCCAGAAATTAATGAAGATTAATTTGCTTACTCTTACCTAAATATTTGAAGGTAATATTTTGAAAGAAAAGGAAAATAATGGAAAAAAAAATCTCCCATTTTCCACAGCTCTCTTCAAATCAAATGGGAGCACAATTAAACCACATGTTGTGTATTTAACTGAAACACAGCAAGTACATAAACACTGCATCTGAAATGATTTCAGGCACTGCAGTGCCCAAACCAAAATCCTAAATGTCCTGAACTCTCCCAAAAGCAATAATTTTGGAATGAGAGGAATAAGAGATCAATTGAGGCTGAAGAATGGAGGTCCAGCCTTGTGACAGGAGAGCTGCTGGCAAAAACATCAATGCCACAACTCCGTGTCCCTCCTCAGAAGTGCTTCAAGAAAAAAAAACACATTTACCTGGAGCCTGGCTTGCTGATGCTGCATCTGCAGGTAATTTCTGTAAAAATCCTGCACAAACATCTTCTGCTTTGCCCTCAGCGTTTGAGGTCTGAAAAGGGGAAAAAGAGAATTTAATTCCATTTTTGACAGAGCAGCTGCAAAGGGCAGGACAACTCTCCCAGGATGATGTTCCCAATAATGGGAGTGGAGAGAGAAACTTTTCAGGAGCTCGTCAGCAAACAGCCCAGACTGGATTTAGCAGGAACATAGAAAAGTTTTGCATCTTCCAGAAATTAATGAAGATTAATTTGCTTACTCTTACCTAAGTCTTTATTTGCAGGTAATATTTTGAAAGAAAAGAAAAATAATGAAAAAAAAATCTCCCATTTTCCACAGCTCTCTTCAAATCAAATGGGAGCACAATTAAACCACATGTTGTGTAACTTATGTCCAAAAAATGTTATTTTTACCTCTGGTTCTGACCTTCCCTCAAGAGCAGGAGGAAGGAAATAATCAGGAGTGAAGAATTCTTCAGTCTCATCAGGAGGTGAATTAAGGGAACAATGTAATTCCCTTGAATGTCCCTGTGAAAGACATCATCACCTGGGATGATCCCACTCTCTAGCAATAAAAAATACAAATTTCAGCCAATAAAAACCACTGAAATTCTGAAATTCTATTCAATTGTTCACTGACTTTCAACCCACCTCCTGCTCCTTGCATTACCTTGGTGGTTTATAAAACAAAATTTTTAAAAAAGGGGGAAGGAGGAGGGGAATTGTTACTCAGATCAGCTCAGGATGTAACACCAGGCTAAACTTTTCCATGGATAAGCAGCTGCCACTAAATTCCCTGGATTTCTGTACATACTCTAGAGAGATTCTCAGCTTGCTGAGGAAGGACTGAACTCTTAGGAATGGATTTTCCAGACTCTGCTTGCTCATCTGGTGCTGGGGACTGGCAGCTCCTCCCTAGGATGTCAGAATGGAACAAAATTATTAACCAAAAATAATAAAAAATAAAAAAGAGATGTGAAGTGAGTGTCTGAGGCACTGCTGGAATATCAATGAGAGCAGACAGTGACACTAATTGTCTGCCAGGAACACGGAGAAATAATGACATTTAAATGCTCACCTCGTTAATTAATCTAAGCAGGGGAACCTTGCCCTGTTCTTTTGTCCAGAACTTTTTCAAAAGCTTTACCCACTAGGCTGCTGCAGAAAAAGCAGCTGTGTGGTGAGACTGGAAGAAATAAAAGTGTGATAGCACTCTCAAGGGTCTGAGAGCTTTGGGTTTCTCATGCTGATAACAATAATCAGTGATGATGAAGGTCTCCAAGCTCATTCCCTGCACCTATTGACACCTAATACTCATCTTATCTCTATTTATCCCCATCAAGGAGTGACTGACTTGCCCTGAGGGCAAAGATAAAATGGACAATTTCTTGTAAAAAAAGAAAAATAAAAAACCACAGAAGCTGAAATCTGATTGGAAATGGAAAGGGGACAAAAAGAGAACGGAACATTTTATGCCTCAGCCTCCTCACCTGTGGAAGTCCTGTCCGGATCACTCTCCCCAGAGTCGGTCGTGTCCTCAGAGCCCAGCTCCCAGGGCTGCCACCCACCCCTGTGCTGCTCCTGGCTCTGGGGGGCTCCAGCCTGGGGGGGCTCCTTGGCACTTTCTGCTTCACTCTCAGACGTGCACTCGCCGCCAGGGTAGGGACAGCTGAGCCCCAGCCGACCCGAGGCCACTCTCCTGGCCATCTGCTTGACTTCAGCTGCACAAAAAAACCCCCCAAAATGAACACTTCACACCCCAGAATCTGGACCTTCAAAGCATCCCCTGTGTTTAACTCTGCCTGCAGACTTGGAAATGCAAAGGTTAGCACAGCCTTTGTCATGAAAAGAGCTAAACGCTTCCTCTCATTTTAAATTAAGCACTTCCTTTTCTTTTTAATAAAGCTGAAAACCCTCACAAATTGACATGGACTAGTCTGTACAGGAAGAGGTTTTGCTGGTTTGATTCTCTATTATCCATGCCCGTGCTGCCATCCACTGGGCACTGCCATCCCTGCCCTTCCTGAGCCCACTCAGTGTCCAAAGCCAGGCTAGAAATCCCTCCAGCTCCAGAAACCAAACCACCCCAACGTGCCTGGCATGATTCCATGCCCAGAGTGTGCAAGACACAGGATCCCACTCGCTTGGATTCCATCCAAAACAGCCTCCCAGAGCTCCAGCAATTAAGGCACAGAGACCTTTCCTCATGTGCTGAGTTTAATGCTCTGCACTGCAGCAAGATTTCTGACATTAATGCTGATTTAACGCTGATTTAACATTGATTTAACACTGATTTAACACTGATTTACTCACTCCTCCATCCTGACTGCACCACTCTCCTCTTCTCGCTGCTTTTTTTGCTGCAGAATTCCACCCTTGGTTTTGATTGGCACCTGCAGTAAATGATTATGAAGTGCACAAACTATTTTAGAGCCCGAGCACATTGTGTCAAGTATTCCCCAGCCTGGAAAAGGCTCCAAACTGTTTTAAATGAATTAGAGCACGTGTGCTCTCAGCATTTTAACAACCCAGCAGAACCAGCAGATTGAGCTGCCAGGAGCTTGGAAAGCACAGATGATTATTTAGGTTTATTCTAGATTAACCAGACAAGCTGTACATTCAACTCTGCATCTCAGAGCTGTCAGCTGCCTTCAGATGCTGCAGCTCCAAAACCACACCATGGGTGATGTGGGGATTGTTTTACTGTTTTATCACCATTGATGTGGGGATTGTTTTATTGTTTTATCACAGTTTCAGACCTGGACAATGATTCTCTCACCAGAGTTCACTCCCTGACCTCCACTGACCATCAAATATTTCTGTTCTAACCTTTACCAACTGGTCTTTGTGATGCAAATGGATCATGGATTAATTTTAAAACTGCAGCAGCTTTCCTGATTTTACCAAACATTCAAAGAAGTTTCTATCCCCCTCTTTCCAACATGAATCTGCACAAGTTTTGCCAGGTAATTTCAAGATGTGCTTTCCATTCCTGCATACAAACACACAGGGATGACATTAAAAAGCATTTCTGCTGGGAATTGAAGGAGGCTGTGCCCAGAGAGGAGAACCACCTCCATTAATATCTTCCCAGATTGCTCCCCTTAGGCCCTGGTACATTTTGGACCACTGACCTCCATCCCAGAGGCATGTGAAGTCATTTTTAACAGCACTCTTTAACACAAAGTGCCCTGTCACAGCAGCTCTGCAGCTGACAGTGACTCACAGCAGGCTCCTCTCTGCACAGATGGCTTTTGCCTTCCTGAGGAACATTTAATGCCAGCCTTGATCCTGATGTGCCTCCTCTGACAGTCTCTCTCCAGATGAAATCTGTCAGAATTAACTCTTCTACGAATAAGATCAAAACTCACCACTTCTCCTCTCCCCTTCTTGCTGCAGGATGTGAATCAGCTCCTCTCTGGCACTGCAGGTTGAACTTTTTCTGGCATCTTGCAGACACGTGTGGGAGGAAATGCTGAAAAGAGTCCAACAAGCCATGATTCAGCACACCCTGGGCACTCTGCTAATTCCTGCCTGAGCTGGCTGTTCCTCAGAACAGGACAGCACCAACTTTAATCCCTGGGTTTTATTTTAGCTGCTCTGCTCGGGACAAAGGGTGACAACTCCAGCAATAACTCTGCCCTGGATTTATAGCAGGTTTCAGTGCAGGCAATCAAAACATGAAGCTTCCAGGGGGATGAGTGGACATGAATGACTCAAGATTATCCTGACAGGAGAGATGTAATTCAATTTGTCTTTCTCTTTGGTCCATGAATTTAATAATGGAAGTGATTCAGAAGCCCTTCCTAATCAGAGCTCAGGCCTCAACACAAACACAAATATTTCTCCACTGGCCTTTTCCCTCCTATTCCCATCTCCATTTGAGTGCAGGATTTGGATTTTAACCCACCCTGAGCCCCTGGATCAGTGTTGTCCTGGGAGGACTGGAGAGAAAGAGGAAATAACACAACTGCACTGCTGAGCTGTCTTCAGTCCTGTATACAAAGCACATTTTAAAGGAGAGATTCACCCCCCCTCCTGCACACCACCCATCCCTGCATCTTTTTTCCTGATAAGGATCACAGAAATGATAACCAGGCCCCTGCTCAACACTTTACCTCCTGGTTTAGGCTCACTTCACCATCCAGCCCTTTGCCCAGGCTGCAGCCTGCATCACGATGGGTGGTTGCAGTTTTGCTCTTCCATTTCTCATTCTGAATTGCCTCTCTCTCCTTGGCTGTCTTGGGAACAGCCTGGAAGCTGTCTCTGCCTGGTGCCTGACACGTTACTGGAGGGGGAATGTAGTCCCTGCATGGTGGAGCCACAGCCTGGTGTAAAAAAATATCAACTCCAGAAAGAACCTTCATGGTGTTTTGGGAAGTGGCATCAGACCCATCCCAGTGTCTTCCCTGAGAACTTTCCTTGGGAAGCAGGTTCATCCTGACCTCCTGGAGCAGCCTCTTCTGCTTTGCCATGGCCTTCAGCCTGTCCAGTTTCTCCTCTGTCTTGCTCAGGGAATGCCCAGCCTGCTGCAGCATGCTCTGCATGATCTTGAGGTTCAGGACGCACTTGCTGATGTGCTGCTCGCTCTGGGAGGGGCTGCTCAGCCTCCTGCCAGCAGCTCCTCTCACCTGGGACAGCCCAGAGGCTTCTCTCACCCTTTCCTCTTCTTCCTCCTTCTCCTCCTCTTCTTCCTCCTCCTCCTCCTCCTCCTCTCCAGTGAAGCCCGTGCTGGACCCCGAGGATTCTCCTTTCTCCTCACCCTCCCACTGGCTCTGCTCTTCCTTCTGCTGCATTTCTGCATCCTTTAGAGCCTGGCCTGACCCAGGTCCTCCTTCCAGGAAGTCTTGGGGACCTTCTGGATAACTGGCCAGGATTTCATTCATCTCAAAGCTGCACAGGCTCCCATCCACGTCGCTCTCAGTCTGCAGCTCAGAGGAGACACCGGGGCTGCTGTCCTGCACGGGGGGCTCTGCGCTGGCTGCTGCCTCCTGCAGCACCACAGCACTGCTCTCCTTGGGCAGAACAGAGTCCTCGGGGGCAGAAAAGCCACCTGAAAAAATGCAATTGGAAACACGAGATCATTTCTCCAGGAATCCCACAGCCGTGCTGCTTTTCCACGCTGAGGAGCGAATTTTGGGAATTCAGAAATTCCACGAGAAGCGTGTGACACCTCTGCTGAGAACTCTGCCTGAACAAAACAGATGTAGAGACCTGAGCCTGCATTAAGTGGCAGCTAAAATCCAAAAACAACTGCTTCCTTTTTCAACCTACAGATTTCACAAAATCTGTGAGTGCTGCCGTTTGAATGATGTGAGGAGCACACGAAGGACATCCTGCCCCGGGAAACTCACCAGCCCTGCTCATCTCTTTTTCCTGGAGTTCCACTCTTCTCTTCTGGAAGCTAAAAGCTGATGCCCAGCAGATGTTCACATCTGCAAGAACAGCAGATCTCTGGGCTTTGGGTACTCCACCAGCGTGGCCACTTTCAGATTTAACCAAGTCCTGTAAAACAAAACAAAAAAAAAAGGAACAAAATACAATTGTATTTGTCAGTTCAGTGTCTCTGCCTGCTTTTCTGAGGAGGCTGGATCACCTCCTCTAGATTTCAGCAGAATCTGGATGGACACATCAAAATTAGAGGACTGGGAATCACCTTCAGGTCATTTTTCAGGACATATTGAATATCCTGAAGCTTCATGGAGCGATTCCTCTGTTTGGGTTCCAGCCCTGACTTGACAACATCATAATAGAGCAGGGGGAGCCTGGCATCTGCTTCCAGCTGCTCCCCTGAAAGGATGAGCTGCTTCACAGCTGAGTCTTCCACACCTTTCCAGGGAGGGCTCTCTGCAAGACACAAGTGCAGATTTTATGTCACCAGCTGCACTTTAATGTTAATTTTTTAAAAAATTACATCATTCCCTGATGTAATTTAAAAAAAAGTGATAAAATAGAATGTATTAAATTTAAAAATCATATTATTCCCTGTCCATCCCCTATTTTACAATTAAAAACAAGCACTGGCATCTCCTCCCTGCCTTATTCCAGCAGTGGGTGCTTTCAAAGGAGCTGACAGAAATATCTGGAGGAGAGTGACACTGCAAACAACCCTGCTCTGGATTCTTCACTGGGATTAATTTTTAGGGTAATTGTTTATCCCATTTCACTGTCAGAATAGTCAAAGTGAATGCAGAACAAACATTATCTGTAATAACAGCTACAATAATAAAGTAACATTAACTTATCTCTAAGTTATCACAGAGATCAAAAACATAAAAGCTGCACAAGCTTGTTTTGAACACTGAAAAGACTTAATTGAATGTTTTGCTGTGCTGGTAGGAAGAAGAAAAATAAACAGCAGAAAAGCACTTTATTTCTCCAACATCCCCCATTAATTTCATCCCTTAGCCACACAATTTTAAGTTTTCTGATCCCATTTTACAGGAGTTCCCAATAATCTCTATTATTGTCGTTAATATTTGGGGTGTTTTTTTTTTTTTTTGCCTGGTTTATTTTTCCAGTTGAAGCAAGCCAGCCCAAAGCTGGGCACTGACCTGTCAGGGCCTCCTGCAGCACTGCACAGAAGCTGTAAACATCTGACCTGACTGTGCCAGGCTTGCCCAGGATTATTTCAGGGGAGCTCCAGCGGAACAGCTGGGCTGGGACGGGGATTCGGGTCAGGTCACTGTGCTCCCCACTGTCCTTGCTGCAAAAAGGGGAAAAAATGGTAAATCAGGACACACAGCACACTCTGCTGCAAGGTTTGTAAACACCTGAGTGTGCTACAGCTTTTAGTTTAATGCATAAAAGGTTCAGGACATTTCTGCAAATAGAAATGTGCAGTAAATGTCTTTTGGCAAAAATTTTCTGGGGAAAGAAACACTTGCTTTAAGGACTTTACAATAAAAAAAAATCCTAAAAATAATAAAAAATTAAACGTAAAATATAAACAAAATATTATAATAATGATAGTAATGATAATTATGATAAGAAGAAGAAGAATAAAGAAGACAGAAGAAGGAGAAGAAGGAGAAGAAGAAAGAGAAGAAGGAGAGGAAGGAGAAGAAGGAGAAAAAAAGTAGTAAACCCTAAAAAAAAGATGGTTAAGATGGAATTCCCAAGTGTCTCTGGCTTCCTGCCAGGGTCTCCGAGCCCCTGCCAGGATTTTAAGCCACCCAGGGCACCCAGAGGGATGTCCTGGTGTTGAGGTGAGCACCCCACGTGCAGGCACGAGGCTTGGCTCCATTTTTTCAGAAGGCTGACTTATTATATTATATTAAAATACTACATTAAAACTATACTAAAAAAAAAACAAGAGAGAAAAGAATGATCAGAAGGTTACAAAGAACAGGAACAGAATAGAATGCATAACAAAATCTTGTGACTGCTCACAGCCTCAGCACAGGAGTTTCATCAAGTGAAAACAATCCAGGTGGATTAATGGAAGATGCACCTGCTGCATCCCACAGCAGCAGAGTTATTGTTTACATTTCTTTCCTGAGGCTCCTCAGCTCCTCAGGAGAAAAAAATCCTACCAAGGGATTTTTCATAAAATACCATGGTGACATCCTGGCTTCCAACAGGAGCCCCAATTCCTAAAAACCCAGTGTCAGATCTTTGGGAAAAGCCCCATTTCAGAGCAGCCCTGAGGAATTTTTCATAAAACAGTCTTATGGATTTTTCCATAAAATATTTTTATGGACTTTTCCATAAAATACCATGGTGACATCCTGGCTTCCAACAAGAGCCCCAATTCCTAAAAACCCAGTGTCAGATCTTTGGGAAAAACCCCATTTCAGAGCATCCTTGAGGATTTTTTCATACAATATTTTTACGTATTTTTCCATAAAATACCATGGTGACATCCTGGCTTCCAACAAGAGCCCCAATTCCTAAAAACCCAGTGTCAGATCTTTGGGAAAAGCCCCATTTGAGAGCAGCCCTGAGGAATTTTTTCATACAATATTTTTACAGATTTTTCCATAAAAACCATGGTGACATCCTGGCTTCCAACAAGAGCCCCAATTCCTAAAAGCCCAGTGTCAGATCTTTGGGGAAAATCCCATTTCAGAGCAGCCTTGAGGGATTTTTCATAGAATATTTTTACGGATTTTTCCATAAAATGCCCTGAGGAATTTTTCATAAAACAGTCTTATGGATTTTTCCATAAAATATTTTTATGGACTTTTCCATAAAATACCATGGTGACATCCTGGCTTCCAACAAGAACCCCAATTCCTAAAAATCCTGATCTTTGGGAAAAACCCCATTTCAGAGCAGCCCTGAGGAATTTTTCATACAATATTCTTATGGAATTTTCCATAGGATATTTTCACGGATTTTTCCATAAAATACGATGGTGACATCCTGGCTTCGAACAAGAGCCCCAATTCCTAAAACCCCAGTGTCAGATCTTTGGGGAAAATCCCATTTCAGAGCAGCCCTGAGGAATTTTTCATACAATATTTTTACAGATTTTTCCATAAAATACGATGGTGACATCCTGGCTTCGAACAAGAGCCCCAATTCCTAAAACCCCAGTGTCAGATCTTTGGGGAAAATCCCATTTCAGAGCAGCCTTGAGGGATTTTTCATAGAATATTTTTACGGATTTTTCCATAAAATACTTTTATGGACTTTTCCATAAAATGCCATGGTGACATCCTGGTTTCCAACAAGAGCCCCTATTCCTAAAAACCCAGTGTCATATCTTTGGGAAAAACCCCATTTCAGAGCAGCCCTGAGGAATTTTTCATACAATATGCTTATGGACTTTTCCATAAAATGCCATGGTGACATCCTGGCTTCCAACAAGAGCCCCTATTCCTAAAAACCCTGTGTCATATCTTTGGGAAAAGCCCCATTTCAGAGCAGCCCTGAGGAATTTTTTATACAATATTCTTATGGAATTTTCCATAAGATATTTTTACGGATTTTTCCATAAAATACCATGGTGACATCCTGGCTTCCAACAAGAGCCCCAATTCCTAAAAACCCAGTGTCAGATCTTTGGGAGAAGCCCCATTTCAGAGCAGCCCTAAAGAATTTTTCATACAATATGCTTATGGACTTTTCCATAAAATGCCATGGTGACATCCTGGCTTCCAACAAGAGCCCCTCTTCCTAAAAACCCTGTGTCATATCTTTGGGAAAAGCCCCATTTGAGAGCAGCCCTGAGGAGTTTTTTCACCTTTCTATCATGTACTCCAGGTTGCAGAGCTTGCCCTCGCCCGAGGACACGACCTGGACGGCCAGGGAGGAGAGGGAGCGGTGGACGAAGCCCCGGGAGTGCAGGAAGCGCAGAGCATCCAGCACCTGGAGCAGGATGTGCACCAGGGTCTCTGTCTGCAGCACTGGGAACTCTGCACGCTGAAAGAACAGCCCCAAAAGCGCCAAATCTGAATGATAGGTTAAATTAATGAAATAAATTAAAATGAATTAATAAGATAAATTAAACTTGAGGTGGGAGAAAGTGATTGGTGGCGCTTATGGGTGTGATTTGGGGGAGAAGGCAGTGAGTGGAATTTGTTGGAGGAAAAAGAGGAAATTTGGGGTTTGTTCTCGGTGGCAAATCAAGTAACAACGCCTTGAAAAGAAGAGAAAAAAATCAAATGGCAACAATAAAATAGAGATTTTATTAATATATTTATATTAATATATTTATTTATAAAATATAGATTTATAGAAAATTTTTATATGGATTTTAAAATTAATTAATTAAAAAATTTATTTTAAAAATAAGAAAAATAACCAGAAACTCAGATACACCCTGAGGATTTTGCCTTCTCGAGGAAAGATGTTAGTCACTAAACTTCTGACTAATTATGATTTAAAACTCAAGCATTGCAGTTACCCTTTCGTGGAGGATGCTGTAGAGAGAGCCAAAGTGAACCCTCTCGTAGACCAGACGAGTTTTCTCCAGGTCACAGGACAGACAGACAGACATCAGCTGCAGCAAGTGAGGGTGGCGGAGCTTGCTGCACAGGGAGAGGAAAAATCAAATTTCCAAGGGAAATCTGAGATGAGAAGAAGGAAAGTGCTGCCCTGCTTTTATCAGTATGACATGAATGTTGGAATGTATTTCAGTGTCAATGTATTTTTTAAGTGAAATACTCGATTTCAGAAGATCAGGAGTGGGGGAAAAAATTGTATTTCTGATCTGGGGAAGAAGTGTAACCCCAGGTTAACGCTGCCGAGAGGTAAATCCCATTATTCCCCAGGCAAATCCCGTTCTTCCCAAGGTAAATCCCACTCCTCCCAGGTAAATCCCACTCCTTCCCTAGGTAAATCCCATTCCTGCCAGGTAAATCCTATTCTTCCCTAGGTAAATCCTATTCTTCCTTAAGCAAATCCCATTCTTCTCAGGCAAATCCCATTCCCCCCAGGCAGTGTCAATGTATTTTTTAAGTGAAATACTCGATTTTAGAAGATCAGGAGTGGGGGAAAAAATTGTATTTCTGATCTGGGGAAGAAGTGTAACCCCAGGTTAACGCTGTCGAGAGGTAAATCCCATCCCCAGGCAAATCCCATTTTTCCCAGGTAAATCCCGTTCTTCCCAAGGTAAATCCCATTCTTCCCTAGGTAAATCCCATTCTTCCCAAGGTAAATCCCATTCCTCCCAAGGTAAATCCCATTCTTCTTTATGCAAATCCCATTCCTCCCAGGTAAATCCCATTCCCCTGAGGTAAATCCCATTCCCCTGAGGTAAATCCCACTCCTTCCAGGTAAATCCCACTCCTCCCATTCCTGCCAGGTCCCAGGCAAATCCCATTTTTCCCAGGTAAATCCCGTTCTTCCCAAGGTAAATCCCATTCTTCCCTAGGTAAATCCCATTCTTCCCAGGTAAATCCCATTCCCCTGAGGTAAATCCCACTCCTTCCAGGTAAATCCCACTCCTCCCATTCCTGCCAGGTAAATCCCATTCCTGCCAGGTAAATCCCATTCCCCCTGAGGTAAATCCCATTCTTCCTTAAGCAAATCTCATTTTTCCCAGGTAAATCCCATTCCTCCCAAGGTAAATCCCATTCCTCCCAAGGTAAATCCCATTCTTCCCCCAGGTAAATCCCACTCCCCCAGGTAAATCCCATTCCCCCCAGGTAAATCCCATTTTTCCCAGGTAAATCCCACTCCCCCCAGGTAAATCCCACTCCCCCACCCCTGCAGACCCCAGGCCCAGCCCCTGCCCCACCTGCTGTGCTCCTGCTCTGCCAGCAGCAGATCAGCCAGGCGCAGCTTCCAGCTCTTCTGCTGGGGCTGGAAGCTCAGCTCCTTCACTGTCACCCTGCTGCCTCCCCACATCAGGCTGCAAAGAACACCAGGAATCTGGACCAGATATTCCCAAGAAGTGTTTTCCCTCTTTTTTTGGTTGTTTGGGGTTTTTTTTCCCTGAGTTATGTGGTTATTTGCTGATTTTTACCATGAAAATTCTCACCAAGAATTTTTCTGTGGTGCTCTGGTGCTGCCTCCCGCTGTCAGGAGTTTAAATTTTGCTCTTTTAAACTGACAATAAACTCGTCCTGCTGAAGGCTGATGGAGCAGGAAAGGTTCACTGCCCAAAATCCCACCCCTTCCACAAGGAATTCCCTTCTCCAAAGGCCATCAGTGACACAAATCTGAGTTTTGGGGAGATTAAATGACCAATTTGGGGAGATTAAATGATCAATTCTCTGGCTGCCTCTGAGACACAACCACTTGCTTAACACACAGTAATTAGACATTACCATATTATTGTAATTATTACAACAATTACAAGATTTTTAATGAATGCTCAGCCTGCCCTTGCAAGTCTCATTTCACCACAGGCTGCACACCTGCATCTCCAGAGGAAATCCTGGACAAAGATTTACAAGGATTAAATGCTGAACAACACAATCTCTGCAAGCCTAAATGTATTTCTCACCACAAAAAAAAGATCAATACTGAAACAGTGCCACCAGTAATCAGCCAAAATTGGGTTAATATTGCTTGTGGGTTGTTCTTGGCCTCTCAGCCATCACTCTGACTCAGATATTAATCAATGAACAGCAGAAAACAAGGTGCAAGCAGGAAACATGGAATAAACACAGAACAAACGTGGGAAATTACCCAAACAAAGAACAGGTTCAGCAGTTTGCTGTGTGATTGCAACAGGCACAAAGAGGGGCTAAAAATCTCTTCAATTCCACTTACTTGGTCATGATCATGTAGGGCCCCACGTGGTAAGAAAATGCTGGCTCGTCGTCAGCCTGGACCAAATCTTTGTCCCCAATTATTGGGAGGGAGGCCAGGTAGCCCAGGTGGCCACTGCCTGCCAGGTGGAACTGAAACAGAAAATGCAACAGTTCCCAAAATCCAGGTGGAAATTAAACAGGGAATGCAGCAGTTCCCAAAATCCAGGTGGAAATTAAACAGGAAATGCAACAGTTCATGAAATTCAGACAGAACTGAAACAAGAAATGCAACAGTTCCCAAAATGCAGATGGAAATTAAACAGAAAATGGAACAGTTCCCAAAATCCAGGTGGAACTGAAACATGAAATGCAGCAGTTCCCAAAATGCAGATGGAAATTAAACAGGAAAATGCAACAGTTCCCAAAATCCAGATGGAAATTAAACAGAAAATGGAACAGTTCCCAAAATCCAGGTGGAAATTAAACAGAAAATGCCACAGTTCCCAAAATCCAGGTGGAAATTAAACAGGAAATGCAACAGTTCCCAAAATCCAGGTGGAAATTAAACAGGAAATCAGCAGTTCCCAAAATGCAGCAAGCTCATCAACGCCCTGAGTGTAACCAGCCCAAACATCACCATGAAATCTGAAAAATCAGGGCCAAAATGGAAATTTCCCACTAAGGCTGGAAGGGGGAAGCAGAGCCAGGTGGAACTGAAACATGAAATGCAGCAGTTCCCAAAATGCAGATGGAAATTAAACAGGAAAATGCAACAGTTCCCAAAATCCAGATGGAAATTAAACAGAAAATGGAGCAGTTCCCAAAATCCAGGTGGAACTGAAACATGAAATGCAGCAGTTCCCAAAATGCAGATGGAAATTAAACAGGAAAATGCAACAGTTCCCAAAATCCAGATGGAAATTAAACAGAAAATGGAGCAGTTCCCAAAATCCAGGTGGAACTGAAACATGAAATGCAGCAGTTCCCAAAATGCAGATGGAAATTAAACAGGAAAATGCAACAGTTCCCAAAATCCAGATGGAAATTAAACAGAAAATGGAGCAGTTCCCAAAATCCAGGTGGAACTGAAACATGAAATGCAGCAGTTCCCAAAATGCAGATGGAAATTAAACAGGAAAATGCAACAGTTCCCAAAATCCAGATGGAAATTAAACAGAAAATGGAGCAGTTCCCAAAATCCAGGTGGAACTGAAACATGAAATGCAGCAGTTCCCAAAATGCAGATGGAAATTAAACAGGAAAATGCAACAGTTCCCAAAATCCAGATGGAAATTAAACAGAAAATGGAGCAGTTCCCAAAATCCAGGTGGAACTGAAACATGAAATGCAGCAGTTCCCAAAATGCAGATGGAAATTAAACAGGAAAATGCAACAGTTCCCAAAATCCAGATGGAAATTAAACAGAAAATGGAGCAGTTCCCAAAATCCAGGTGGAACTGAAACATGAAATGCAGCAGTTCCCAAAATGCAGATGGAAATTAAACAGGAAAATGCAACAGTTCCCAAAATCCAGATGGAAATTAAACAGAAAATGGAGCAGTTCCCAAAATCCAGGTGGAACTGAAACATGAAATGCAGCAGTTCCCAAAATGCAGATGGAAATTAAACAGGAAAATGCAACAGTTCCCAAAATCCAGATGGAAATTAAACAGAAAATGGAACAGTTCCCAAAATCCAGGTGGAACTGAAACATGAAATGCAGCAGTTCCCAAAATGCAGATGGAAATTAAACAGAAAATGGAACAGTTCCCAAAATCCAGGTGGAACTGAAACATGAAATGCAACAGTTCCCAAAATCCAGGTGGAAATTAAACAGAAAATGGAGCAGTTCCCAAAATCCAGGTGGAAATTAAACAGAAAATGGAGCAGTTCCCAAAATCCAGGTGGAAATTAAACAGAAAATGGAGCAGTTCCCAAAATCCAGGTGGAAATTAAACAGAAAATGGAGCAGTTCCCAAAATCCAGGTGGAAATTAAACAGAAAATGGAGCAGTTCCCAAAATCCAGGTGGAAATTAAACAGGAAATGCAACAGTTCCCAAAATCCAGGTGGAAATTAAACAGGAAATCAGCAGTTCCCAAAATGCAGCAAGCTCATCAACGCCCTGAGTGTAACCAGCCCAAACATCACCATGAAATCTGAAAAATCAGGGCCAAAATGGAAATTTCCCACTAAGGCTGGAAGGGGGAAGGAGAGCCAGCCCTTAGGAATGCCACAGGTGACACTGAGCAGGAATTTCTGCTGTTCCAAACCCAGCCAGGCACCAAAGCCCTGAATATCCCTGCTCTCCATGGGGTTTATCCTCCCATCTTTGCAGCAGAAATAAGAATGCACTAAAAGTTAAAAGGCTGAAAATAAGAATGCAGTAAAAGTTGAAAAGTTTTAAAGAAGAATGCACTAAAAGTCAAAAATAAGAATGCACTAAAAGTTAAAAATTTAAGAATGCACTTAAAGTTAAAAAGCTGAAAATAAGAATGCAGTAAAAGTTGAAAATAAGAATGTATTAGAAGTTGAAAATAAGAATGCACTAGAAGTTAAAAAGTTAAAAATAAGAATGCACTAAAAGTCGAAAATAAGAATGCAGTAAAAGTTAAAAATAAGAATGTACTAAAAGTTGAAGATAAGAATGTACTAAAAGTTGAACAGTTAAAAATAAGAATGCACTAAAAGTTAAGAATGCACTTAAAGTTAAAAAGTTGAAGATAAGAATGCACTAAAAGTTGAAAAGTTAAAAATAAGAATGCACTAAAAGTTAAAAAGTCGAAAATACGAATGTACTAAAAGTTAAAAAGTTAAAAATAAGAATGCACTAAAAGTTGAAAATAAGAATGCACTAAAAGTTTAAAAACTAAAAATAAGAATGCACTAGAAGTTTAAAAGTTAAAAATATAAAAGTTAAAAAGTTAAAAATAAGAATGCACTAAAAGTTGAAAATAAGAATGCACTAAAAGTTAAACAGTTAAGAATGCACTATAAGTTAAACAGTTAAGAATGCACTAAAAGTTAAAAAGTTAAAAATAAGAATGCACTAAAAGTTGAAAATAAGAATGCACTAAAAGTTTAAAAACTAAAAATAAGAATGCACTAGAAGTTTAAAAGTTAAAAATAAGAATGCACTAAAAGTCAAAAATAAGAATGCACTAAAAATTGAAAATAAGAATGCACCAACAGCTGAAAATAGCACAGGTAACCACGGTGAGAAAGGAGATCCTGGGGAAGGTTCCAGCACCACCAGGAAATCCCTCCCCACAGCACCTCACCTTCCCAAAACCAAAGCTGTAAATGTTCTTGGCCACGCTGGGTTGTCCTTTCAGTAACTTCCCCAGAGGAATCTCAGCATTTCTAAACACCAAAACCAAAAGAAACAATTTGTTTATTCCAGGGCTTGGATACAGAGAGAGAAGGAAAAAAATCAGAATTTCTGCATTTGGCTGGTCCCACACATGTCATGGGGATGTTAAAATTCCAGATTATTGTGCAAGGATTTTTATGCTATTTATTTTTTCAAAGCAAAATAATCAATATACATATACACACACAAAGTATATCCTGCACTGCTTTTTTATTTTTCCCAGCATGTATCTGACACAAAAACTCCTGAAACAGTTGGGAACACCCCCCAAAAAGATCTGCAGGGATGTTAAAAAGTCAAAACCCAAACTACTTCCTGCTGCCACTAAAATCCAGTGCTTTTAATGCTGGTTTCAAGAGTTTAATTAATAAAGTTTGTCTTAATACACAGATATTTACAGCTATCAAGTTTCTGTTTAGAGCTGTGATAACAGAAATAAAATTAATCACAGTGGGCTTAAATCTGCTATTGTCAGAAAGGTGTAAGAACCTGCTAATTTTAAATAATAATATATATAAAAATCTAAATTATGTATATATATAAAAATATATAAAATAAATAGAATATATGTAATATAAAAATGAATATATCAAATTACAAAAGTATAAATAAAAATAAATATAAAAATTAATATACAGAAATAAAAATTAAAATTAAAATAAAATTAAAAATAAAAATATTAAAATAATAAATAAATAAATAAATAAATAAATAAATAAATATATATATATGTATACAAACAAAATTTGGAAAAATAACTGGTAACTTGTAATATATATATATATATATATATATACACAAATAAAATTTGGAAAAATACCTGGTTACTTGCAACACCCAAAGGGGCATTTTGAGAAAGGCATTCACAGCAAACCAGTTACACGCCAAGGGAAGAACAGCCGCCTCCAAACGGGCGACAACACTCGAAATCCCACCCAACCCTCACCACAAAAAACCCAAAAAACCCGACAATTCCATCTCCCTTTGACGGGAGTTGCATTAACAGGGAGGGATGACGATTTCAGTATCCCATCAACATTCCGGCCGGCGCTCCGGGCGCACCTGGGCGCTGCTGTCCCTGCAGCCGGACAGAGCCCAGAGCTGGGGGGTCCTGCCCTGGCTGTCGTGCACCCGCAGCTCTCCTCCCTCGTCCAGCAGCCTGCTGAGGATGCTCCGGCTCCCCGAAAACGCCGCGGCGTGCACCGGGGTGCTCCCGTCCTGGCAGCGGCTGGGCGGCGGCAGGAAAAGGAGAACGGTGAAAAGGAAGGGAAAGAGGGGTTTGGTGTGTGGAGTCATGGAGGAAAGGGTGGGAGGAAAGGTAATTGTGGTGTTTCAAGTAATGGGGGAAAAAACAGGAAAAAAGATCATTGTCGTGTCACAAATAATAGAATTAGCCATAAAAAAAAGGAAATTTTCATGTCTCGAATAATAGAATAAACTATGGAAAAAGAGAAAATTTTAATGTCCCAAATAACAGAATAAACCACGAAAAAAAAGGAAATTTTCATGCCCCAAATAACAGAATAAACCATGAAAAAAGAGAAAATTTTAATGTCCCAAATAGTAGAATTAACCACAAAAAAAAGGAAATTTTCATGTCTCAAATAATAGAATAAACCATGAAAAAAGAGAAAATTTTAATGTCCCAAATAACAGAATAAACCACGAAAAAAAAGGAAATTTTCATGCCCCAAATAACAGAATAAACTATGGAAAAAGAGAAAATTTTCATGTCTCAAATAACGGAAAAAAAAACATCAAAAAAGATCATTTTCTTGTCACAAATAATAGAATTAGCCATAAAATAAAGGAAATTTTCATGTCTCGAATAACAGAATAAACCATGGAAAAAAAAAGGAAATTTTCATGTCTCAAATAATGGAAAAAAACACGAAAAAAGATAATTTTCTTGTCCCAAATAATAGAATTAACCATAAAAAAAAGGAAATTTTCATGTCTCAAATAATAGAATTAACCACAAAAAAAGGGAAATTTTCATGTCTCAAATAACAGAATAAACTATGGAAAAAGAGAAAATTTTCATATCTCAAGTAACAGAATAAAGCATGGAAAAAAAGATAATTTTCATGTCCCAAATAATAGAATTAACCACAAAAAAAAAAAAAAATTCATGTCTCAAATAACAGAATAAACCACAAAAAAAGAAGATTTTAATCTCCCAAATAACAGAATTAACCACAAAAAAAAAGATAATTTTCATGTCCCAAATAAGACAATAAAGCATGAAAACAAAAAAAGAAAATTATTTCTGTATTTACCACTGAGGAGCTTTGGTTAAAAACCAGCATTCCTGGAATGACCGTGTGCTCCAAATAAAATAATTTTTCATTTCAAAAAATTAAATTATTTCCCTATTTGATTTCTCTACCACCGAGGAGCTCTGGTTAAAATCCCAACGTGCACCTTAAGCACTTCTCCACTCATGCCCAGAGAATACCGGGTGACTGAACCGACTCGAAGATTAATTTTAATTAAGAATAATTAAACGTTTGGTACTTAACTGGTTGGCGTTGGAGCCGTATTCCAGCAGCACATCCACGATTTTGCCCAGCCCCAGCAGCGCCGCGGTGAACAGACAGGTCTGGCCCATGGAATTCACAGCATCCACAAAAATTCCTGCCAGGAAACACAAGATTCCCAAGGGTGGGGGGGTTGGTTTTAATTAAAAAAATTGTTTTAATAAAACATCATCGCCGCTCTGAGTGATGAAAATCCCGCAGCAGAAATTGAGGGGGAAAAGAGCAAATGGTATTTTTTGTGATTTTATGTGAGGATGGAAAGAACTGCACGTCCAGGAGGATTTTAAATAAAGGATGTGTGAGTAATAAATGGTGCTTTTGTGTGTTCTGTAATTATATGTACTGTTTAAATTAGAGAGAAAGATATATAAATATATATATACATGAAAAAATATATATATATATGCATATATATTCATCATCACTAGAAGTACAAATTATGGATATATAAGTAGAGATGGATGAGCACAAATAACAGGAAGACAGAATTTTTAAAAAAAGTAAATTATTCTTTAGTAATTACTTATTAATTAAAAAGGGGTTTTTATTATTGTCATTATAATTGTTATCATATTAAATACGTACCTTATTCTTTTAAATTACTTATTAATATATAAGTTTATTATTATAGTTGTTATTATTGTTACTGTTATAATA